TCGTCTCGCTAAGCCTCACAGCGTCACCCCCAACTGTCCACTTGCAGAGGTTAAGCTGGACAGTCTGACTGTCTCAAGACCCTTCACCTGTCACCTGTCTTAGCTTTGGAGCTAAGCGAGCTAACACGCCCAAGTCTTCAGGTGAAGACCTGAAGGGGCCTTATACCCAATCCAGCCCATAAACCACTCTCCAACTTTTTTGTACTTTTTCATCTTTCACTCACAATTGTTCATTTTGGAACGATCGATTCGGAAGGAATAGATATAAAACTAATTGTTTACAACTATCGATTTATTTACTATTTTGTTCCTCTTGCCTTCCTCGCATCCCATTATCCACCTCCCCAAACCTCATCCCATTATCCTTCCACCCTCTCCCTAAATCGTATCCCTTTATTCATCCATCCGCTCTATAAATCTCATTCCTTTATCCTTCCATCTTTTCCCAAAATATTATCCCATTATCCCTCAACCATCTCCCCAAATCTTATCCCATTATCCCTCCACCACCTCCCCAAATCTTATCCCATTATCCCTCCACCACATCCCCAAATCTTATCCCATTATCCCTCTACCACCTCCCCAAATCTTATCCCATTATCTCTCCACCATATCCTCAAATCATCCCATTATCTCTCCACCATATCCTCAAATCATCCCATTATCCCTTCACCACCTCCCCAAATCTTATCCCATTATCCCTCCACCTACTCCCCAAATCTTATCCCATTATCCCTCAACCTACTCCTCAAATCTTATCCCATTATCCCCCCATCATCTCCCCAAATCACATCCCATGATCCTACCACCACATCCCCAAATCTTATCCCATTATCCCTCCAACCTATCCCCAAATCTTATCCCATTATCCCTCCACCACCTCATCAAATACCTGGAACTTCTTATCTTCCCCAGCGAAGGCTGAATAAAGACAACAGGGGCTGATAGTTTCAATTATTTCATGTTCTAGTGAGTTTCATTTCCGGTCTCTGACGTCACATCTTTCAGTCAAAATTACAAAGTCTCTCACAAAAAATATCACACCCCCCCCCCCCACCAAGGCTGACCTAGTTTTGTTTTTCATCGAACCCCGGGGGTAGTAAATTACATAGGGAACAGCGTCATCAAAACTCTCCGTGTATATGTGATATGTTAAGCTCTGTATGTTTACGTCTGTATTGTGTTTTGTGTATATGTAAGAGGTACCCACTGTAAAGTATTATTCTACACTGCATGTATAAAGTAATTATATGTTAAGATTGTTGTTCAAATAGTTTCTTCCAGGCATCTCTTCTGGCGGAGCCCGCCCCCCCCCCCCCCACCCCGAAGAAAGTCTACCGCCCCCCCCCCCCCCCCCCGAAACGAAATGAAATTTATATAGAAAATATATACTTTAAACGGTGTCCGCCCCTCCCCCTCCCCCGAAAAAAATCTACCGCCACCCCCCCCCCCCCCCCCGAAAAAATTTCAAGTTGTTCTTCAATGTATGTGGTGTATATTCGATGTGTGTATTGCTAGCTTTACCGACAGTTACATTCGTTTAGAATTATGTTTGTTCAAAGAGTTACAAGACTTTTATGTGACTTATGTTACTATGACATACTAGTATGTGCTGCATGTTTGTGTGAAGTGTGTTTATGCCTGCAGACATTAAACCCATACTTCTGCTGATGGTCAATGTCCGTCTGCTAGAATAGCAAGTCGTTGATCTCTATATGGGTTCTTTATTGTCTATTTAGTTTTTATGTGAAGTAAAAAAAAATCTGTATAACGATGTTAATTGAGTATGAATGTTTAAAGGACGCATATATATATATATATATATATATATATATATATATAATTTCTCTCTCTCTCTCTCTCTCTCTCTCTCTCTCTCTCTCTCTCTCTCTCTCTCTCTCTATATATATATATATATATATATATATATATATATATATATATATATATATATATATATATATATATATATGTATATATGTATATACATATCTATATATATACATATATATATACATATTTATATATATATATATATATATATATATATATATATATATATATATATATATATATATATATTTATTTATTGTTTAATAGACTTATTACAAAACATAAAGTAATCCCCTTTCAAACCCGACGTTCTATGGGGTAAGTGAAGAGTAGAGTTCACCTGTTTCTGTTATCCGATAAAGGAAGGGATAGTGTGGTCAGTTTTTTGCCCAGTGAGTTAGGTACCCTCAGACCAGGATGTACTGAGGGACTTTCTACTGACATGAACCCGGAGACGTTCGTGTTAGCAGTCTAGCTCTCTACCACTAGGCCACTCCGACCCCAAACATGCACTGGTCTAACTTGACTCACCCTCTCCATTATGTATGAGATGCATTCAGCAGAGACCAAGGTCAAGGGTATGTGTGGTATTAGCGGCACGCAAACGCGAGACGTGAGTAGTGTGGGTAATTTCTCGCCTATTATCACCATGGTGATGGCAAAACGACGCAATTTACCGGAAGTGTGATGACACTGTTTAAATTTGTTTTTCTCCTAATAGGTGCATTAAATCTACGTGCATCAGGCAAAGTGGGATGAGTGTTTATAGAATAATCTGGTAGAGAGTGAACGTCTTTTTTGGTGCAGGAATGGAAAATGTTTTAGGGAGGGGGGGGGGGGGGGAATGGGGGTTAAAGACATCAATACTGGGGATAGGGGCAAGAAGGCACGGTCTAACATATGACGGCCTTGAGCAGTGTCTAACATATTTAACATACACATAAAGGGACTGGTAGAGACAGGCGTCAATGGTGTTCGCTATACACCGGTTCCAAGAAAAATGCCAAATCGAAAAACCGCGCAAATGAAAAATGCGCAAATAAAAAACGAATTATACTAATACACTTTAATTTTGTCATATTCCGCGAAAATATGGTTTACTATGCTAAACTATACATGTATTCATTCTTTGTTAATGTCCACAAATGCTCGTTTTAAAAACATTTTGGTGCACAGTTTCATATTGAGCATCCTTCTGGTCACTCTCTAGTCCTCAACCATATTTATCAACGGTCTCAGTCTTTGCGTTTGGGGCCAATTATTGAACTTGGTAGCTCTTGAAGAAAATTTTGAGAATCACTAATGGTTTCTTTTTTGTCGAAAATCCACCAAGAAAGATAGTAACATAAAAGTAAATTACACTCATTTCTAATATAACATAGTTTGATGTCCACTAGCAACGTATTAACGCACGCATACTAATAAAGTCTAAATAAAACGTGAAGGAATTTCTAACGTTGCAAGGGAAATAATCCAACACATTATAGAGGCAAAAGTTTTTCCCCTTTGTCGGATATTGTTATCTTTAGAAATTATAAAAAAAAAACTGTATTGGCCAGGATTAATTAATTTAATTGCATCGAGCAATCGAACTAGACACATTAATGTAGGATTAAAATAATGCGTTTGAATCAAATGTCGATCAATGGTAGTTGTAAAACGTTACGCTAATTAAAAATGGTTTCAAGTGCGTCAATTTAAGCTTGTCTATTAAGTAGTATATATTAGGAAGAACGTTGGCTTATTTTATCACGTTACGTACTATTATTGTCTTGACATTTACAGGACATTAGTTTTTAAAAATATTTTTTGGGTCGTGTCAACTGAATACGATTTTTATGAATAAAAAATAAAGTACATGTTTAGTGTACTATAGTACGTGTGCATTTCATTTAAAGAGTGTACTGATGCTGTTTAAGAAGATTAACTATTTGGTTGATTTGAGATAGTGTTGGACGGAGTTGGTGTTGTATGATATGACATCTGTTGGACGGATCCATTGTTGTATAATATGACAAGATCTTGTGTTGGACGGTGTTGGTGTTGTATGATATGACAAGATTTTGTGTTTGATATGACAAGATGTTGTGTTGGACGTAGCTGGTGTTGTATGATATGACAAGGTTGTGTGTTGAGCAGCGCTGGTATGATATGACATCTGTTGGACAGATCCATTGTTGTATGATATGACAAGATGTTGTGTTAGACGGAGATTTTGTGTTTGATATGGCAAGATGTTTTGTTGGACGGAGATAGTGGTGTACATGACATTTCCATGTTGGACTGATAATGTTGTTAAACATACACAGCCTTTCTATAATGTAATGATTACCTCTTCTTTAGGATGTGACGAAAAATTGAGATGGTGGCGGGAGCGGGGGAAGAGGGGGGTAATTGGGTTAGTGTTGATTTTTATGGCAGTAACTTGAAGAGAAAATGTAAATTGTGTAAATGAAAAATAAAGAGAGGCAGACGGGAGGAGAAAAAGGAGGCCGTAACCAAGGCATTAGCTGAGGCAGGAGAAAAATAACATTTCAGTAATGCATTTGTGGAGAGGAGAAACATTTTTTGTTGAGGGGGGGGGGTGTTTTTTGCACAGATTAAAATGTTTGTAAGATGTTTTTAAATTTGATATGCTAATGGCGTGAGTAAATAATGTTAGTTTGGTGAGGAAACGGTTCTCAACAAATCGTCAAACCAGTACCCTGGTGATGAATGAATAAATCCCTGCATTTGTTGCAAGCAAAGTGGGTTTATACTGTAAGAAAGTAATATTCCTATTGTAACTGTTTGATTCTTAATGAGTGACTTAAGCTAATTTTAGAAGTGCTACTCTATTTCATTCTTAATTTGGAATTATTTTTTGAGTACATGTTTCATCAAACAAGATGTAATTACTTTCTTCATTAATGACCTGATACATGCAGAATGTTTACTAGTCAAAAATAAATAAACAGTTGTTGTATATACATTGACAAAATTACTTTACACAAAATGATTGAAACTCAAATTTGTCTCATTAAATGAAAAATAATTATGATTTTGGCCTAGATAATTGAAAAACTGACAAAAACATTTTTTGTTTTAACTATCGTCCGAAAGCATTGTAGCTATTTATATCTAATTCAACAGCTGTATTAATGTATCTATAACTTTATATCTCGCAGGTTACGGCCACATCGCGCCCAAGACGGAGATGGGCCGCTTGGTGACGATGCTCTACGCTCTGATCGGCATCCCTCTCACGCTCCTATGTATCTCCAACATCGGGAGCTTCTTCGCCAACTGTTTCCGGTTTCTCTACAAAAACATCTGCGTCTGCCTGGAGCGGCTGTGCTGTAGCACGCGCCAACGTAAGGCGAGGTACAGCGGTTCCACCAGCACCATGACAACCACTGCCAGCCTCAAGTCTGTGGCGTCGAGAAAATCAAAGTCCATCAAAGACATCAACGCGGAGTACGAGGAATCCAGACAGGCGCTGAGGAAAGACAACCAGGATATAAGCGTCGTGGAGAAAGGTCTTCAGACGGCCCCACGGAGCGGCCGGGAATCCGGGAAAGGTTGCAAACATACCGGCGACGACGGGGAGGTGAATTTGTTGGTGGTGGATGACAATTCAGGGCGGAAGTCGTCTAATAAAGAGAAAGTTCGAGTTCCGATGTCCGTCAGTCTTCTGATTATATTCTTGTACATTTTCGGTGGAGCTGTTTTGTTTTCCTGTTGGGAACAAGATTGGAGCTATCTGATTGGTTCATATTTCTGTTTTATAACTCTCAGTACGATTGGCTTCGGGGATTATGTGTTCGGTGTAGGGAATGACCTTGACAACAGCCAGAAGATGATCACGTGCGCGCTGTACCTGGTATTAGGATTATCGATAATCGCCATGTGTTTTGAGCTGATGCAGGAGGAGGTGAGGGCAAAATGCCGGTGGCTAGGGGCCAAGCTAGGGATTATCGAATCTTCCAAAAAAACGAGGAAAAAATAACACAAAGACACTAGTTCATAACCAAAATAATTCAAATAATTCCTGGTAAACTATTTCAAATATTTGTTATCCGTGTTAATTAATCTGGGGCTTGGTGTTCCATTGTCTCACTTAAACTGAAGCTTCCAGAACATTGTACAAGTCAAAGTTCAATGTGAGTTTAATTCTTGTATCTGTAAAGCAAGTGTACGATATGTGAGTAAATATGTAGATTTAGATAAAGCTAATGCAACAATACACAGTCTATGAGTAAATATGTAAATTTAGATAACGCTAATGCAACAATACACAGTCTATGAGTAAATATGTAAATTTAGATAAAGCTAATTCAACAATACACAGTCTATGAGTAAATATGTAAATTTAGATAACGCTAATGCAACAATACACAGTCTATGAGTAAATATGTAAATTTAGATAAAGCTAATTCAACAATACACAGTCTTTGAGTAAATATGTAAATTTAGATAACGATCAGGCAACGATAATTTCGTAGAGTTTGAAATAAATCATGCACAGTCTGAGTAAATATGTAGATCCATATCACAACTATTTCAGGATATTCTCGTTCATTGATTTTAGAATAGCACACTCTATGCGATAAGATATGTACATCTACGTTATTTTACTTTCATCCACTAACTTAGGCATAAAGCACGTACTGTCTGCTTGATAGTAAATATATCTAGAACAACCTGATATACATACGAAGAAAATTTCATCCATTGATTGGAGTTTGAATAAATCAAAATACTTTAAAGAAACATCAGCTGTCTTATACTGTATTCTTAAGCTTGGCCAGTTTTGATTTTAAATTAAAACAACAAAACATAGATTTTCGAACGTGAAAGTATGTTTTGTTTACGTTATTGAAAACAATAAGTTTACGTCTGTGAAAATATTTAGTTCTTGTATGAGTTATGATGAATAGTTCACATGTATTTAGAAATGTGCTACATGGTAGAAAAAAATAGCTATGTTTTGTCTCGTATGTTAAACATGTACGGAAATCGCAAAGAAGACTGTCTCACGTCTAGTTCCCTATAATGGTCTCATGAATTATAACACACAGTTCTGGTTAGAAAAGAACAGAGCCGCACTTCGTTTAACCCACAAGTACAAGACCACGCTCCCCTAGTCCTGTAAGTATATAGACCCCCCCTCCCCTTGTCCTATAAGTACATAGTCCCCCCCGTGTCCTATAAGTACATATGCCCCTACCCTAGTCCTATAATTACATAGCCCCCCCCCCCCTCCAGTGTTTCTTCCAGACTTTTTTCTCCGGGGGGTATTGTAACAACATGAACTTCATTGTTGTTATTGTGGGTTCTTCAATATACTCACACGAGCAACAGTAGTTGTGAAACTATAACTTTATTTACACTTTATACACTACAGTGAAATGATGAATCCATAGTATTAGTAAATCCATAGATAAACAACTAGTATAATTTGGTATAAGTCCAATCACAGTCACGAATCAAAGTGACGTAGTGACATCCTACATTCACAGTCACAGTCCAAGCGCAAGCACCCCCCCCCCCCGTTCACCTTTCGCTCTCCCTTTTATACGGTCCATTCTCTCCCCTTACGTACATGAGCGATCTCACCCAAAAGCATGGGAAAATACATGACGAGTCGCTCAGACAGTCCTTCCGCTAGCCAGGTACTCTTCATTCATGCAACTTCATGTAAAACACAATATAATATAAACATACCTAATTATACAGTCTGTGACAGGTACTTGAAATTTTCGGGGGGGCGGTAGACTTTCATCGGGGGGGGGGGGGGGGGGCGGACACTGTTAAAAGTATATATTTTCAATATAAATTTCATTTCGTTCGGGGGGGGGGGGGGGGGGCGGTAGACTTTCTTCGGGGTGGGGGGGGCTTTGACCCCCCCGAAAAGATGCCTGGAAGAAACTCTGCCCCCCTCCCGTTGTCCTATAAGTACATAGCCCACCCCCCCAGTGTCCTGTAAGTACATAGGCCCCCCTCCCCTTGTCCTATAAGTACATAGCCCCCACCACCCCCCCGTGTCCTGTAAGTACAACATAGGTCTCCCTCCCTTGTCCTATAAGTACTTAGTCCCCCCCCCCCGTGTCTTATAAGTACTCAGGTCCCCCTCCCGTGTCCTATAAGTACATAGCCCCCCCCCCCCCCCACGTGTCCTATAAGTACTTAGTCCCCCCCGTGTCTTATAAGTACTCAGGTCCCCCTCCCGTGTCCTATAAGTACATAGCCCCCCCCCCAGTGTCCTGTAAGTACATAGCCCCCCCCTCCCCTTGTCCTACATATACAGTGCAACACTTCCTATGTCCCAGAAGAATAAAACCGCAAGTCCTCACGTACTTCAGATTCAGAAAAATCGATGCTCAGACACAGCTTGTAAATGATATTGATTATTGATTATCCATAAATGGCTTCACCAAATCACAACCAAATGTACCCCCCCCCCCCCGCACCAACCCTCTCCGTCTTCCATCCTCTTTTTGTCACACGAACTCACAAGCTGCTCCTCCGCCCCCCCCCCCCCCCCCCCCCACCCTCCCACCGTATCCTTTATACGACTGTTGTAAACTTTACAAAAGATGTTTTCGATTAGGATAGGGATAATTTGTACTTATAGCGGGGGTTCATTAGTTGTACATTTGGGTTAATGTTAGGCGATAATTGATTCGGTTGGGGAGGGGGGAAGGAAGTGGGGATACACAAGACTAAAAGATAGGGTGGTATGTCCTAGATCTTTAGACAACACTGTCTTACATGCGTTTGACAGTAAATGTCTTAAATGTATTAGGCTAGCTCTCATAGTTGAAGGAAGACAGCATGTTATGTCCAGGAGGGTTGTATCTCCGTGTTTTCATTGTTTAAACTTTTTTATCTACTCGATAGAAGCCCGTATCTGGAGATCTTGTTTATCAATTATTGACCAATGGTTAAACTCACACACAATTCGTCATGTCTTTCTCATGTTAAATGTTGAATACAATTTACACTGTTAAAATATGTCTGTGTGTATCCACCTATTCATTTGCTTACAAACTGATACGTTTTCATGTACGGTATTATATTGTGATACCATCTTACAAACTTGTCACAGGATGCGATTAAGTCATGTTTTGAGTGTGATTGACGTCTTATATTGTCGTGATTCTACATTAACTTCGTTAATGAATTGACGTGATGCACTCTTTTACACAGTGTGACATTCATGTGTCACACAACATTCATGTCAAGTGTGTCACGATGTCATGTCATCTATGACACTTTGTGACAACACTTCCTTCATAAAAGTGCTTGTAAGAATCTTCTCTGACATAGACGCTTATACGTTTTTTTTATCTTGTTAAATGTAAAAAAAAAAACTTTAAAACAAAATTGCACACACAAAAAACTCGTTTTTAATTGCATAAAGTAATTGGCATACAAGTTTTTATCAATTTAATAAACAGTTTAAAAAATATTTAAAAAGAAAACAGACATTATGTAAGAAAATAGCAAAATATAAAATTATGTATTTGCATGTTTAAACGCTTCAATGATTTTTTCATCCCTGTCGAGACGCACTTCTAAATCGCAAGCTTCACGTTTCATAATATTTCAATCGATATTAGAGAAAAGTGCAACAGTGTTGTTCTTCGTGGCCCGCGGGTCGTGGGCTGCCTAGATGAGCTGTCCTCATACACGGCCCGCGGGTCGTGGCCAGCCTAGGTGCTGTCCTCATACACGGCCCGCGGGTCGTGGCCAGCCTAGATGAGCTGTCCTCATACACGGCCCGCGGGTCGTGGCCAGCCTAGGTGCTGTCCTCATACACGGCCCGCGGGTCGTGGCCAGCCTAGATTAGCTGTCCTGATTCACGGCCCGCGGGTCGTGGGCTGCCTAGGTGAGCTGTCCTGATACACGGCCCGCGGGTCTTGGGCTGCCTTAGCGGACGTAACATGCATGCTCCCGTTTTCGTTGATATAATGTAATTCTATACACCACAGACACAGGCAATTGTTATAAATAAAATAAATGTATTTAATCACTGCATAGTATAAAATCCTAAGCATGTGATAATTGATTAATACAAAAGCATATTTGCTGTTGCCTACTGTTCGAATTAAAAGCAGAATCCAAGATCTTGTTTCCACACATTTAACCAGCAGTATTAAATCTATCTCTGTGATTTCTAACGATCTTCTCTCATCGATCTCTACCCTTAACCACACCCAAGGCTTTCGACTTTTAGCCCTGATCTCCACACTGACCCTTGTGTCTCTCTACCACTTTGAGAACCTTGGCTAGCGTTAAACAACTATAATTTTACTTAATGTTTTGTTATATGCGCGTTGACTGTTATTTTCCTACACGTAAAAGAAGACTAGAAATCACATTCAAATGATGTTTTGCACTAAAGATGTTTTAATTGTATATCTTCTGTCTTTAATAAAGTATGGTTAGGATGTCAAAAATGATACTTAATCTTCTAACGTTGTTAATTGAATTATAGTTTTAATTCTATTAATTAAATTGTCATATGTTAAAATACTTTGCTTTTATTGTTTTGTTGTATTAGTACAACTGTTCGGATTTTAGATTCAATAAATGTGACAATTGTTAATGTTTACAAATGAAAACGAAAAAATAGTTCCAAAATAAATGCAACGTCTTCATGTTTTTCTTTATTTAACTAAACTGTCTAATTTGACTACACTTTTACCATAAGGTCATTCAGTGTCTTAATTTTGTAGAAAATCACCACATAATTAGTTTACATAATGTCGGTGAAAAAACTAGAATATATATATATATATATATATATATATATATATATATATATATATATATATATATATATATATATATATATATATATATATATATATATATATATGGCCTATTCTTAAAGACGGGACACTATTTCTAATCCCACATTTTCTGGTAAACAAAGTTTTAAAACAAAGTATAGGCCCTACTTATATTTATACATGCTTTACTTTGTTCCTTCTCTTGGAAAAAAAATCGCAAAAAGAGCAAAACTTTCCTTTGTCTTTAGGGTAAAAAATCGCACACATACATTTCTTGACAAAAAAATCTTTTAACATAATGTTCTTCTATGGGTGAAAGATAATTTTCAGAGAGGTTTTTTTTCTTTTACTTTCGTTTTTCTCCTCGTTCAGAGTTCCAGCACATTAACAAGCACATTAAATTATTACGCAGCGCTGCGTAATTTGGCTGTGGTTTTTTCCAAAAATTGCTGGAGAACTACAGAAATCCTCCATTAAAGCGTCTAAAACAACAGGAAAAATACGACGAGAGTAGTCATAAAGGGCTGGTAGAGCATTAAACATGTACTTACGATTTTTACACCAACCAGTTTAACATGCATTACAGATGTGGAAAAAAAAAAAGAAATCAACAATTTATTCACTTATTTTTCAGAAAAAATTGTGGGTCGCGGAATGTAACAAAAAAAAATCAATGAGTAAGCTAATGAAAAAAGAGACACAAACTAACAAAGGACAGGTACCAATGCAACTGAAATGTATTTTTAAAATAAACCGGGAGTGATCTCCCCTAAACTTTCTCGAATATCCTTATATAAAATAACAAGGGATGGGAACTCGGGCTATAGACATAATTTTTAATTCATTTTAAATACTTAAAGTTTTTAAAAATAGAATAAAATCTCGTAGACAAATTAATTGCACACCAAGTGAACGCCAAATAAAAAAGCGCATAATATTGCGCAATATTATTATTACTTTTAAATTTACATTAGTTTTTTGAGCAATCGGAAGTAGCGTAAATTACTACTTCCAGTCAACGGAAATTACTCAAAATTTTAACAGAAGGTAGAGAATTAGATATTTTACTTTCATGTGAAATTTCATTTATCTATCTGAAATAGTACTCAAGTTATAGGCTTTTGAAAAATTCAAAGTAGGAAAAGTACCACTTCCGGTTATCGGAAATCGCTCAAAAGTTGATACGGATCTACGATTTTGATAAAATACTTATATATGAAATTTCATCAACCTAGCTATAACGGTACTCAAGTTATCGTGTTTACACACGGACAGAGAGACAGACAGACACACAGACATACGGACAAGATTGCAAAATTATGTTTTTCCGTATCAGTGAGGTGTAAAACGTCGAGATTTGTAAAAATCTCGATTTTTTTTTTTGCACGATTACAAGACTTTCTCTATACTTCGTATATACGAGAAAGTAAAACAGGAAAGAAATATAAGATAAACCGGGAGTGATCTCCCCTAAACTTTCTCGAATATTCTTATATAAAACAACAGGGGATGGGAACTCGGGCTATAGACATGATTTTTAATCCATTTTAAATACTTAAAGTTTTAAAAATAGAATAAAATCTCGTAGACAAAAAAATTGCACACCATGTGAATGCCAAATAAAAAAGTGCATAATAGTGCGCAATATTATTAGTACTTTAAAAATTTACATTAGTTTTTTGAGAAATCGGAAGTAGCGTAAATTACTACTTCCGGTCAATGGAAATTACTCAAAATTTAACAGAAGGTAGAGAATTAGATCTTTTACTTACATGTGAAATTTCATTTATCTATATGAAATAGTACTCAAGTTATAGGCTTTTGAAAAATTCAAAGTAGAAAAAGTACCACTTCCGGTTATTGGAAATCGCTCAAAAGTTGATACGGATCTACGATTTTGATAAAATACTTATATATGAAATTTCATCAACCTAGCTGTAACGGTACTCAAGTTATCGTGTTTACACACGGACAGACAGACAGACACACAGACACACAGACATACGGACAGAATTGCAAAGCCCAGTTTTTCAGACTGGATTATGCATAAAACCTCTTACTTTTGATAAATCTGGATTGATAATTTTTGCCCGATTAAAATAAGTCCTCTATACTTCGGATGTGATGAAGGACTGAGGTGTAATACGGTGAAAATTGTTAAAATTTCAAGTGATTTTTTTGCACGATTACAATACTTTCTCTATACTTCGTATATACGAGAAAGTAAAAAAAAACAAAAAAATACGAAATATAAAGACTTGCAGCAATTATAACTTGAAAAAAAAAATTCATAAAAAACGTTTTAATAACAAGCTTTTATGTAACAATGCACTAAAAAGTAGAAAATAAATTATAGAAAAGCGTGGGTCACTTTAGTATCTATTGGATACCTTTACTAATGTTAAGGAAGACACCCACGCTTTTCTTTATAGTTATTTAAATAGTAGTCTATAATTTATTTTCTACTTTTTAGTGCATTGTTACATAAAAGCTTGTTATTAAAACGTTTTTTATGAATTTTTTTTTCAGTACTTTACATGTTTTATTTACAATAGAGTTACATGACTAAAAACCATTGCGCGCCTACTGAACATCACGTTCAGTAGGCGCGCAATGGTTTTTGAACGCAGCCATTGAAGCTATTGAAGGTGATGACGCGTGTGGTGTGGTTGGCTAGACATGCCTACTAATTCGGTCCAAATTTTAATTAATTCATAAAAAATTAATTAGGCATCCAATTAAGTCAAATTTAGTTTCAGATTGCATTGTCTTCATGTCTTGACCCACGTGCCAACTGTGAATCGTATCGGTCAAGTAGAACTGTCCGAATTTTCACTCCTGCGTTTCCGTCTAGACTGACGACTGACGAGGAAGTGAGTTAAATAAAAGCTTGTAATAAAGGGGGTGTAGGGTGTAAATAATTTTTTTTTCAAATATATTTACAACTAATATGAAAACATATACGGACATATAACTTTTCCCTTCATCTAAGTAGAAAAGCCAAAACTATTTGATTTTTGCTTGTTTTTTTTTTTAGTTCGGAAATAAAAATACGCCTGTTAATAACTGTCTACATTTTCGTTCTATTTCGTTGCTTTTTTTTGATAATATAGAAGATCAACAAAAAAGAAAAACTGCAAATTCTTACAATAATACATTTCTAAAATTTAATTGATTAATAACAGTTATTGTCTAAGATATTCGGGTTTTCGGATAACGAATTGCTGTCACCGAAATTATTTGGTCTCTCTGAAAAGATATTAACGTTAAAAGTTCTGGGTTTTCATTTTTTTCGATTTAAATCCATTTTTCTGTCTAATGGCTTGCCTGCTTATAAAATCGAGTCAACCTTGTAAAATAAAAGACACGGTGCGCAAACTGCTCTAAATTTGGCATGGAGGGCCGCATTCATTGGTGCGTTTTACGGTGCAGTGCAGGCTCTCAGGAACCGCTTCCTGTTTCTACAAGACAAAATATTTTCAAACATTAAATGCAAAAACTTGAGCTCCTTAGAAATAATACCTCAAGCAGAATTACCCTTGACAAGATTTGTGTTTTAATTAATACAGGGGGTATTTTCTAAGTAATTGTTTAAGACATTTTCGTGACTATTTTTTATTCAATGCTTTGTGAAAGTTGAAAAATATCGACTTTACAAAATTAAGTTTTGAATCGTAATACGTTTCTATGCTGATCGAATAAAAATACCTTCACAATGATAACTGAAAATACAAGCGATCCGATGAAAAAACCTTCACAGGAGACCCTAACTGAATATATACCTAAGTTAGATGACACGGGCAATGTGAATCAACCAGAGAAACCGGTCCAGCCACCCACTGACACGAAGGGAGACGAAGCGCTGAAGAGAGTCCCGTCCAGGGGCCCAAAAGCCATCTCCTTCTGTAAGGTTTTGATCTACGTGCTGCTGCTTGTATTCCTGGCGGGGTACGCAACGATTGGCGCCTACCTGTTCAGGTACCTGGAGCAGGAGGTTGTGGTACTGGTTGACAAGAACGCCACGTATGAGCAGTACAAGGAAGAACTGGTTTTAAAGGTAGGGTTTGGATTGTATTGTGGGGTCTAGGTTAACGTATGAGCAGTACAAGGAAGAACTGGTTTTAAAGGTAGGGTTTGGATTGTATTTAAGGGTCTAGGTTAAGGTACGAGCAGTACAAGGAAGAACTGGTTTTAAAGGTAGGGTTTGGATTGTATTGTGGGGTCTAGGTTAACGTATGAGCAGTACAAGGAAGAACTGGTTTTAAAGGTAGGGTTTGGATTGTATTTAAGGGTCTAGGTTAAGGTACGAGCAGTACAAGGAAGAACTGGTTTTAAAGGTAGGGTTTGGATTGTATTGTGGGGTCTAGGTTAAGGTATGAGCAGTACAAGGAAGAACTGGTTTTAAATATACGAGCCGGCCCGCGGCATAACATACGCCGCTATTTAGTTGTTTCTAATTTTCAATAATTCATAATTTGTGAATTCGACAGTACCAACGCTGACACTGAAAATATTTCTTTAAAACACTATAAGTAGCTCGTTAAGGACCATAACCCCCCCCCCCCTTCCTTCCCCCCCCCCCCCTACGTTTAAAATCGTTGGCTCTGCTTGTAAACATTTAGAGTGAACACAGCTCACTAAAACCATGTAGGGGTGGGGAGGTAGGGAGAGAGTTTGCAGCTTGTTTTCTAACGGCTCGAAGAGGAGAATTATATATATAGATAGATGGTGTCGATTGTATTGTAGGGTCTAGGTTAAGGTATGAGCAGTACAAGGAAGAACTGGTTTTAAAGGTAAAGTTTGGATTGTATTGTGGGGTCTAGGTTAAGGTATGAGCAGTACAAGGAAGAACTGGTTTTAAAGGTATGGTGTCGATTGTATTGAGGGGTCTAGGTTAAGGTATGAGCAGTACAAAGAAGAACTGGTTTACAAGGTAAGTTTCGGATTGTATTGTGGGGTCTAGGTTAAGGTTTGAGCAGTACAAGGAAGAACTGGTTTTAAAGGTAGGGTTTGGATTGTATTGTGGGGTCTAGGTTAAGGTTTGAGCAGTACAAGGAAGAACTGGTTTTAAAGGTAGGGTTTGGATTGTATTGTGGGGTCTAGGTTAAAGTATGAGCAGCACAAGGAAGAACTGGTTTTAAATATATGGTGTCGATTGTATTGTGGGGTCTAGGTTAAGGTATGAGCAGTACAAGGAAGAACTGGTTTTAAAGGTAAGCTTCGGATTGTATTGAGTAAATGTATTGCTCAAGGTTAAGGTATGAACAGTACAAGGAAGAATTGTTTTTAAAGGTAACTTTATGATTGTATTAAGTTTTTAGTTTAGGTAAAGGTATGTGCAGTACAAGGAGGAACTGGCTTTAAATATAAGGTTTGAATTGTATTGAGTAAGTCGGGGCTCTTGATTAAGGTATGAGTAATGTAAGGAAGAGCTTGTTTTAAAAGTACCAGACTGGTATTGTATTGTGATTGTGTGGAGTCAAGGTTAAGGTTACTGGTAGTGTTGGTGTTGCAAAGTTTGTTATAGGTATTTGTGTTTCAATTTTTTGAGGTTAGGATTTGCATTGGGCTTGTAAGTATTGATTGAAGTTGGGAATAAGGAATAGGCAAGGGCAGAAAGGTTAGGGCCAGGTTTAGGGTTAGGGTTTGTTAGGCAAAGTCGTTGTGGGTATGAACATGGGCGTGGCTGGGGCTGTGGCTATGGCTGATTGGTAAGGGTATGGGTATTGCTGATGGCTTTGGCTATGGTTGATGGGTATGGCTATGGTTTATGGCTATTGGTATGGGTATAAGTATGGCTATGGCTATGGCTATGGCTATGGCTATGGCTATGGCTATGGCTATGGCTATGGCTATGGCTATGGCTATGGCTATGGCTATGGCCATGGCTATGGCTATGGCTATGGCTATGGCTATGGCTATGGCTATGGCTATGGTATGGCTATGGCTATGGCTATGGCTATGGTTATGGCTATGGCTATGGCTATGGCTATGGCTATCTCTATGGCTATATCTAAGACTATGGCTATGGCTATGGCTATGGCTATGGCTATGGATATGGATATGGATATGCATATGGATATGGATATGGATATGCGTATGGCGGATGGGTATGGCTATGGCTGATGGCTATGCGTATGCGTATGCGTAAGCGTAAAAAATAAAGTGCCTTGTATATCACCAAAAGCAACAAAATGTTAGATGCTAAAAAAATTTAAAAGACATGTTCTTTTCCTAAATTTACTGTTGTAGATAAGTTGGTTTCGCTAAAAAATATCATCATTACCTATTTGTTTATTATATTTTTAATTCTTGCTAAATCTTGACCGAGACTGACAATATCTTGACCATAACAATGTTGTCTGTCTCGGAAGTTCTTGCTCTATAAGGACTAGATTCTGACCATGCCAATGTTGTCTCACCAGATCTTGACCGAGATTGACCAGATCTTGACCATGACAATGTTGTCTCACCAGATCTTGACCAAGATTGACTAGATTTTGACCATTACAATGTTGTCTCGCCAGATCTTGACCGAGATAGACCAGATCTTGACCATGACAAATGTTGTCTCAACAGATGTTGACCATTACAATGTTGTCTCGCCAGATCTTGACCGAGATAGACCAGATCTTGACCATGACAAATGTTGTCTCAACAGATGTTGACCATTACAATGTTGTCTCGCCAGATCTTGACCGAGATAGACCAGATCTTGACCATGACAATGTTGTCTCGCCAGATCTTGACCGAGATAGACCAGATCTTGACCATGACAATGTTGTCTCGCCAGATCTTGACCATTACAATGTTGTCTCGCCAGATCTTGACCGAGATAAACCAGATCTTGACCATGACAATGTTGTCTCGCCAGATCTTGACCATTACAATGTTGTCTCGCCAGATCTTGACCGAGATAGACCAGATCTTGACCATGACAATGTTGTCTCGACAGATCTTGACCATTACAATGTTGTCTCGCCAGATCTTCACCGAGATTGACCAGATCTTGACCATGACAATGTTGTCTCGCCAGATCTTGACCATTACAATGTTGTCTCGCCAGATCTTGACCGAGATAGACCAGATCTTGACCATGACAATGTTGTCTCGCCAGATCTTGACCATTACAATGTTGTCTCGCCAGATCTTGACCGAGATAGACCAGATCTTGACCATGACAATGTTGTCTCGCCAGATCTTGACCATTACAATGTTGTCTCGCCAGATCTTCACCGAGATTGACCAGATCTTGACCATGACAATGTTGTCTTACCAGATCTTGACCATGACAATATTGTCTAGCCCGATCTTGACCAAGATTGACTAGATTTTGACCATGACAATGTTGTCTCGCCATATCTTGACCATTACAATGTTGTCTCGCCAGATCTTGACCATTACAATGTTGTCTCGCCAGATCTTGACCGAGATTGACCAGATCTTGACCATGACAATGTTGTCTTACCAGATCTTGACCATGACAATATTGTCTAGCCCGATCTTGACCAAGATTGACTAGATTTTGACCATGACAATGTTGTCTCGCCATATCTTGACCATTACAATGTTGTCTCGCCAGATCTTGACCGAGATTGACGAGAACTTCACGCTTCTGGTGGACAATGAGGTGGCCCAGAGAAAGATCCGGGCTGTCGTCCGGAGAATGTCAGTTGACGTCATCACCGTTGCTGAGTTTAAGGACGATGTTTTTGAGTGGACCTTCCCATCGGCCTGCTTGTACTCCGTCACGCTCATTACCACAATAGGTGAGCGCTCATTACATTGTGCTGCACTCTTTACACTCATTACACCGTGCTACGCTCATTACAGCAATAGGTGAGCACTAATTATATTGTGCTATACGCATTACAATAATAGTTGAGCACTCATTACACTGTGCTACGCTCATTACAACAATAGACTACAATATCTCACCACCTGTTACGATACATCGATAATTGCAACACGGATGAACTAAAGCCAACAATGACTGTATTCTCTCCCACCCCCCACCCCCTTTCAGGCTCGGGCGATATCACCCCTAAATAAACCTATTCTCTACCCCCTCCCCAGTTTACGATAACATCACCCCTACACAATATATATTCTCTACCCCCCTACCCACAGTTTTCGGTAACATCACCCCTACACTAAATATATTCTCTACCCCCCCCCCCTATGAACCTCTTCTCTACCCCCCCTCAGGTTACGCTAACGTCACCTCCACAATAAACCTCTTCTTTACCCCCCCCCCCCCACCCCCCTTTAGGTTATGGTAAAGTCACCCTTACAATAAACCTATTCTCTACACCTTCTCAGGTTACGCTAACGTCACCTCAACAATAAACCTCTTCTCTACCCCCCCCCCCCCCCTCTCAGGTTACGCTAACGTCACCTCAACAATAAACCTCTTCTCTACCCCCCCCCCCCCCCCAGGTTACGTAACGTTACCCCCACAATAAATCTATTCTCTACCCCCCCAGGTTACGGTAACATCACCCCCAAGACTGCAGAAGGTCGGGTCATATCCATCATCTTCGCCATCGTCGGCATACCCCTGACCCTCCTCTACCTGACCAACATGGGCTCTCTGCTCGCCATCTACTTCAAATACGTCTACAGACGGTGGATCAGCCTGCTGGTCTGGTGCAAGATCATGAAGAGAAAAAGAGACACGGACATCGTCCCGTCGTCCATCTCGTTCATGGTCATCGTCTCCTACCTGTTGCTAGGGGCGCTGCTCTTCAGCACTTCCGGTAGTGGTTGGACCTTTATGGAAGCGATGTACTTCTGTTTCATAACCTTGAGCACTATTGGGCTGGGGGACTATGTCTTCGGAGCGGATATTGATGACCTGGCCTCCATAAAGCCGCTGGTGTCCGTCATGTACTTGATCCTGGGGTTGTCGATGCTGTCCATGACCTTTAACCTCATGCAAGCGGATATCTCCTACAAGGTCAATGCCCTGATGGTGAGGTTTGGGTTCGTGGCCTCTATGAAACGGGCGCAAATGTTAATTGCTGATTAATTTGTTCTTGTTTTTTTGGACAGGTGCTTGATAATTTATAAAGTAACTAAGGGTCGGTAAACAAAACATGTAATTTGAACTTTTTTTAAAAAATAATTCAAAACTACATTGAACGAATTAGATCCAAAATACTAATACGATCGCAATCTAGTTTTTAATGATACATGATCAACTACATCCGGAGTATCGTAGGGTGGGTAGTGTGCGATGCCCCTTGTTATAAATGTTAACCGGATCATAATGTCAAATTATTTTTTTCTGTATTGTGTAACAATCAAAATTGTTTACAGGGGAAATTTGAAGTTTATGTATAGCATCATGTAATTTTTGTTTATATTCGGTATCACTGTTGGCACATCAGTACTTACTCATTATATTCTTTTAGTATATATATATATATATATATATATATATATATATATATATATATATATATATATGGGTCGTATCACTGAGTTCTCTTTGGTAAATTCCCACATTTGAGGCAACATTATGTATATTTACCTCCATCAAAGGTGTCTAAAATTTGACTGTACACACATATCTCATAAAGTAATAACTTAAGCGTGCCTATGATGCCTACAAGCTACATGACAAAATTCAAATAGCTCAATTCCATTCGTTGCCTCAGAAACTAATCTAGTACTTAAACATTTGCTAAAGTAATGTCATTTTTTTTTAAACTTGTGTTAAAATTCTTGCAATTTCTATTTTTGCATTTTAGAGAATAAATGGGTTCATTATTACAACATTTTTTGTTGTTCTCGGATGCTTGTAATATATATATATATATGTATATATATATATATATATATATATATATATATATATATATATATATATATATATATATATATATATATGTGTGTGTGTGTGTGTGTAATAATTACCTCTTCTTTAGGATGTGACGAACAATTGAGATGAAAGCGGGGGGGGGGGGGGGGGGGGGGTTATAGGGTTAGTATTGTTTTTTAAGGAGCAATTTGAAGATAATAATCATTAAAAAAGTTTTTAAAAAACCCACGTTTTCTGATTGAACTAAAAAGTAGAAAATAAACGCTATACATCACAATAATGCAAGCGATCACTCTACTATAAGCGATAAAAAACGTGGGGCGCCGAAGTAAAAGTTATATTACTATTGATTAGATAATACTATTGACTTTTATTAGGGAGCTTGTAGAGAGTCAACAGTATTAGAAACTGTAAGAAAATCACGGCGCCCCACGTTTTTGATCGCTTATAGTAGAGTGATCGCTTGCATTATTGTGATGTATAGCGTTTATTTTCTACTTTTTAGTTCAATCAGAAAACGTGGGTTTTTTAAAAACTTTTTTAATGATTATTTTTTTCTAGTTTTTAGTCTTTGTTTGTTTGCATTAAAATCTTGCTATCGATTTTATCTTTTCAATTTTTTTGGGTAAACGAAGACAACTCGCAAAAAGACAACTCGTAAAAAGACAACTCGTAATAAAATACTTAAAAAAAACTTTTTAAAAAACCACGTTTTTCTTGTGGACTAAAAAGTAGAAAATAAATTTTCATACATTTGATGACAAAAAACGTGGGTACGTTCACCATCAAATTTCCCGACCCATCTGCCCGACCCACGTTTTTTGTCATCAAATGTATGAAAATTTATTTTCTACTTTTTAGTCCACAAGAAAAACGTGGTTTTTTAAAAAGTTTTTTTTAAGTATTTTATTTTCTCCTTTTTAGTCCGTTGCTACACATGAAAAACGTGGTTTTTAAAAAAAGTTTTTTATATAGTTTATTTTCTACTTTATCCAATGAGTTGATTAAGTATGACTTGACTAAGTGTTTATAAATACACGGACTAAAAATCTTGAGCGACCAGGATTCGAACCTGGGTTGTCGCGGCCACAACGCGAAGTACTAACCACTATACGATCACGGCCAGCGCGCTCACATCGATTGGGGCCGAAGTAAATGTGCCAATAGGCCTCCAGTCTTGTCGGTATCTTTAGAAATCATGTCCTCAATTTTATGGTCCTTGGGGCGTAATTAAATTAAGCTAATTACGGTCTGTAATTGCTAGTTTTTATGATTGCATCTGAAATTGTTAGGCGAAAGTAGCCTACATGCCAAATTTCAGATCTATTGAGCAATCAGAAGTGGGCTAATTTTCGATGTCAATTTTAACAACAAACAAACAAATCCACAAACGCGAAGCTGAGTTAAGAAAAACGTGTTAAAAAGACAACTCGTAAAAAGACAACTCGTAAAAAACACGTCGTGTTAACACATAGATTTGAACCCGTGTCGAGTGGGATAGCAATCGTGTGCCCAACCACTCGACCATATCGTCTCCCCCAAACTGGCCTACCTCCTGTAAGTTTAAACTCGGTTCAAACTAAATTATCTGCCCCTAAGCCTGTGGCGATGTGGGATCGTTCGCTTCACTGCGCGCGAGGTACGCGTCGCTCGTTTTTTTAACACGTTTTTCTTAACTCAGCTTCGCGTTTGTTTGTTTGGATGTTTGTTGTTAAAATTGACATCGAAAATTAGCCCACTTCTGATTGCTCTATAGACCTGAAATTTGGCATACAGGCTACTTTCGCCTAACAATTTCAGATGCAATCATAAAAACTAGCAATTAGAGACCGTAATTAGCTTAATTTAATTACGCCCCAAGGACCATAAAATTGAGGACATGATTTCTAAAGATACCGACAAGACTGGAGGCCTATTGTCACAGTTACTTCGGCCCCAATCGATGTGATCGCGCTGGCCGTGATCGTATAGTGGTTAGTACTTCGCGTTGTGGCCGCGACAACCCAGGTTCGAATCCTGGTCGCTCAATATTTTTAGTCCGTGTATTTATAAACACTTAGTCAATTCATACTTAATCAAGTCATTAGATAAAGTAGAAAATAAACTATATAAAAAAACTTTTTTAAAAACCACGTTTTTCATGTGTAGCAACGGACTAAAAAGGAGAAAATAAAATACTTAAAAAAACCTTTTTAAAAAACCACGTTTTTCTTGTGGACTAAAAAGTAGAAAATAAATTTTTCTTTTGTGCTTCCTCGAGCTGTGCAGGTTCTTGTGATGACTGACAAAAAACGTGGGTCGGGCAGATGGGTCGGGAAATTTGATGGTGAACGTACCCACGTTTTTTGTCAGTCATCACAAGAACCTGCACAGCTCGAGGAAGCACAAAAGAAAAATTTATTTTCTACTTTTTAGTCCACAAGAAAAACGTGGTTTTTTAAAAAGGTTTTTTTAAGTATTTTATTTTCTAATGGCTCGCAGAGGAGAATTATATATATAGATTATATAGCGGTCTAAAATGCTCAATAAAATGTTTCCATTGATCAATTTAGTAATAATAACAATTGAATATTCAATGGTCATCCAAAAGAAAGCTTCCCTGAAAATTTCAGCGCGCTAACTAACTGGGAAGTGCCAGAAATTTCGATCGCAAGATTTGATTGGAAAGACAAACAAACACAGACACAGAGAAAGCAAGTTAAAGAAAACGTGGGAAAAAATGGGACGGAGCGACCTAGCGGTAGAGAGCTGGGCTGCTAACCCGAAAGTCTCGAGTTCGAATCCGGGTTCAAGTCAGTAGACCGTCCCTGAGTCCACCCAACTCTGATGGGTACCTAACTCACGTTAGGGAAAGTAAACGCAGCTGGGCATAGTGCTGACCACACTATCTCTTCATATGCCGAGGTCACAGAAACAAGTGAACTCTACTTCACTTGCCCCATAGACCGTTAGGTTTGAAAGGGAAACTTTACTTTACTTTTATGTATACATATATATAAATATAAATGTACTTATACATGTGTATACTTCTACGTGTATATATTTATACATGTATATATAGGCTAACAGAGAATGTGAGTAATTAGTACACCCAATAAGAAATAAAAGCTAATTTTAAAATGACCCCTAGCCAGAAGTAGTTTATTTTAACAAACAGCAAACTTATTGAAAACCAAAAAAAAATCATAATTTCAGTGCAAATATTTTAAAGAAAGATACAGTAATTAACACATACAATTAGTAAAACGGTTCTAATTACGCTCGCGTGCGGCCAAACAGTACCATAGGTGACTCCACTAACCAAGGATGGAAGTTAACTGAGTCTAAAATTTAAACAGGTTGGGACATATGCCAGACGGACTTGGGACAGATTTAATTCGGGTGTTTTTAAAAAAGGTACATTCAAAGGGAAGTTATCCAATAAAACGATTTTTTTTTAATCGTACAAGAGTTGCTTCCCTGTATTAATTCACTGTATTTTAATATTGAAATTAAATAATATGAATAATTTCACCTGGTGCAAAGTTATTGATGATGTATTTTGTGCGACTGTATACCTTTAAGGTCAATATGTCAGTCGTCTGAATAACGTGTTCCATAGGCAGAATGTCATACGAGTAAGTTTCCATGTTTTTAATTCACGAGGTTTTTTCTGTGAACTTAGTGCCTGGAAGTTGAATCTGTAGCGAAATAGATATCCTGAAGGTAAGTATACCCAGAGGCGTAGCGAGTGGGGGGGGGGGGGCGGGGGTGCGGACCGCACCGGATGACAAAAAAATACCAAGGCAAAAAATACCAAAATATATAGAGAAAAATTTGAGGGGGGTGGGGTGCAAATCGAAAGTTTGAGGGGGGGGGGGTGCAAATAATCGAACATTTGAAAATTTGTCTTCGGGAAGGGTCGCTACCCTCTGGGGGTGACACCATTAAGTGCCGCACCGGGTGATACCTGACCTCGCTACGCCACTGGGTATACCGGGTGTGATTGTTTAGGTGTAAATTGAATGTCCGGAAAAATAGTGTAGGGTATGAAAGTAATGTAATTTTCCTTTTGTAAACGACGGAAACGTAATTACCCGGGAATTAATTATCTGTAGATGAGGCTCTTGGAGATAAATATTCGTAGGTGATTGATGATTCGTGTTGTGTGTGTGTACCAATGCTTCATGTAAATAGATGATTGATGATTCGTGTTGTGTTTGTGTACCAATGCTTCATGTAAATAGGTGATTGATGATTCGTGTTGTGTTTGTGTACCAATGTTTAATGTCCATAGGTAGTTTATAATTCGTGTTGTGTTTGTGTACCAATGCTTAATGTCCGTAGGTAATTGATAATTCGTGTTGTGTTTGTGTACCAATGTTTAATGTCCGTAGGTGATTGATAATTCGTGTTGTGTGTGTACCAATGTTTAAGGAAGTGTGAAACACGCTATTTAAAGAAACACAATGTCATGTCCATTAGCTGTGTTCAAATGCGTTCAACAGTGCGCTTTGTTGGCAAGGGTTGTACGGAACTCAGCATTGTTTATATTCAAACCTGCACCACTATTCAGCTGATCTTCCTGTACAACTAGAGTCTACATCCCACTATAAGTTAATTATATTTTGTAAACATTTAATGTTATGTAGGGTTTGTTTTCTTTACCCATTAGTTAGATTCCTTAATCAGGATATCTCTTCCATAAACAGGGTCAAACATATAAGATACCTATAATGTGAATAAGTTATAAACTCTATAGATCTAGACCTAAGTATTATCTTCCTATATGTGATTAACTCATGCCAGTGTGTCGTCTGATGTTTTAAAAACTGCCATACATAATGAAAAAAACAGTACATTTATTTAACCTGTATGCCTTGTAAGACGAATCTTTCCGTATGGGCGTATTTTCATTTAACTGAAGCTAACAAGATCTGACACAATGGTTGACAAATCGCCCTTAGACGACTACTCCAATCTCGAACCCAAAAAGAAAGAGGATGCGCCACAGAAAGACCCACCCAAACCCGAGGCTGAGAAAAATAACCCACCACAAGATGATGGAGCCACACCTAAAGGGAACGAAGCTAAAGACAACGCAAACCCCTCAACCTCAGTCGCAACTGAAGACGAATCAGCCAAAATGAGAGATAACGAACTTCCATCAGAAGCCGAAAGAAGGAATAGTTGCAAGTATCTCTTGATTGAAGTGGTCATGCATTTCGGGAAGGTGATGTCGTACTGTGTGCTGCTAATCTTCCTGATCCTGTACTCCGTTGTGGGGGCCTTGCTGTTTCAGTATCTGGAAACTGAGGCCATTCGCACGCTCAACAAAAACGTCACACTGGGTGATTTGAAGAAGAATTTTGTGGATAAGGTAAGACTGAGCTTCTAACAGATAGTGTAGTGTAATGACTTGTGTTCTTCTAAAATATAGTGTAGTGTAATGAATTCGTGCTTCTAAAATATAATGTAGTGTAATGACTTGTGTTCTTCTAAAATAGAGTGTAGTGTAATGACTTTTTGCTTCTAAAATATAGTGTAGTGTTATGAGTTAGTGCTTCTAAAATATAATGTAGTGTAATGACTTTGTTCTTCTAAAATATAGCGTAGTGTAATGACTTTGTTCTTCTAAAATATAGCGTAGTGTAATGACTTTGTTCTTCTAAAATATAGTGTAGTGTAAAGACTTTGTTCTTCTAAAATATAGTATAGTGTAATGACTTTGTTCTTCTAAAATATAGTGTAGTGTAATGACTTTGTTCTTCTAAAATATAGTGTAGTGTAATGACTTTGTTCTTCTAAAATATAGTGTAGTGTTATGACTTGTGTTCTTCTAAAATATAGCGTAGTATTATGAAGTTGTGCTTTTAAAATATAATGTAGTGTAATGACTTTGAGATTCTAAAATATAGCGTAGTGTAATGATTTTGTTCTTCTAAAATATAGTGTAGTGTAAAGTTTTTGTATTTCTAAACTATAGTGTAGTGTAAAGACTTTGTTCTTCTAAAATATAGTGTAGTGTAATGACTCTGTGCTTCTAAAATATAGTGTAGTGTAATGTTATTTTTCTGCTAGATGTTGTTGTTTTTTTTGGATAAGGATCAGAGCTGTGATAGAGTAAAACCACTTTAAAGACGAAGATTAAGAAACAATTTTGACTCGGCGCCTTTAATTGTTACAGCTATATCAGACTTATTCCTGTTAGTTTGTTTTGAAAAAAATATTTAGTTCTCGGAACCGAGGTTATAAAAGTGTATGGGCGGCTTTTTTTTAAAATATTCTATAGGTATAGATAGAGGAAAGAAGTAACATTTGCATAATGGATGTAGATTCTTAATTACGCGCGATAGGTTAGTGACATCATCACGTAACTATGACACATATGTAAAGAAATTATTGACGCCTCATATGGTGAGAAATGTTAGGGGGCGGTGACGTGACTCAGCATTCTTTTTTTTCACTTTCAAGAACAAAATGTCTCAAAAGCTCTTGTGTTCTTCTTCTTCGTTCTTAATTATTAGCGTTGAAGGGGATCGAGACTATTCGAATTTATCAACCATGAGCTTTTTGCCGACTCGACCACGCCTCCAACACAATTAAGTGTACGTGTCAACTGGTTATGCGCCATTGAGGCCATTGACTCCGATTTCAGCCTGCTTTTCTTTTTGGATTTGCTTCCATAGCCTTTGTCCAACCAAGAACAAACTACAAGGCAGCAGTTGTTTAATTTTGGAGTGGCTGTCCCCAGCTAACGAGCCTCATATGCCCGAGGGTTCGAACTCGAGACTTTTCGGTTTAGCAACCATGAGCTTTACCGACTCGACCACGCCGACCCCCTTCTTGTGTTATTTAGTCCGAGAGAAGTAGGTTTTTACTCCCAAAACCGTTTGTAAATGAAAATTGCTATATTATTAAGCATATATATATATATATATATATATATATATATATATATATATATAATATATATATATATAATATATATATATATATATATATATATATTATATATATATATATATATATATATATATATATATATATATATATATATATATATATATATATGCTTTATATAGTATTTGTCCTTCTGAGATTATAGGGGTGGGTTGTTTGGGTAAGATATACTATAGTGAGTAATTTCTCTCCCCACTGTTCCCCCGCCTGAGAAGATTCTAGACGCTGCCAACGTCAACCACACCATCCTCGCCTTCAATCCTGAAACAATCGCCCGGGTGGACGAGGTGGTGCATGAGTTCATGACGCAGGTCGTTCACTTCGCGGAGGCTCAGCAGAAGGTCGAGGTCAATGATTGGTCGTTTCCCTCCTCCTTCCTGTACAGTGTCACCTTGATAACGACCATAGGTAAGTGTTCCTGTACAGTGTCACCTTGATAACTGATAACGACCATAGGTAAGTGTTCCTGTACAGTGTTACCTTGATAGGTAAGTGTTCCTGTACAGTGTTACCTTGATAGGTAAGTGTTCCTGTACAGTGTCACCTTGATAACGACCATAGGTAAGTGTTCCTGTACAGTGTCACCTTGATAGGTAAGTGTTCCTGTACAGTGTTACCTTGATAGGTAAGTGTTCCTGTACAGTGTCACCTTGATAAAGACCATAGGTGTGTTCCTGTACAGTGTCACCTTGATAGGTAAGTGTTCCTGTACAGTATCACCTTGATAACGACCATAGGTAAGTGTTCCTGTACAGTGTCACCTTGATAACGACCATAGGTAAGTGTTCCTGTACAGTGTCACCTTGATAGGTAAGTGTTCCTGTACAGTGTCACCTTGATAGGTAAGTGTTCCTGTACAGTGTCACCTTGATAACGACCATAGGTAAGTGTTCCTGAACAGTGTCACCTTGATAGGTAAGTGTTCCTGTACAGTGTCACCTTGATAACGACCATAGGTAAGTGTTCCTGTACAGTGTCACTTTGATAACGACCATAGGTAAGTGTTCCTGTACAGTGTCACCTTGATAACGACCATAGGTAAGTGTTCCTGTACCGTGTCACCTTGATAGGTAAGTGTTCCTGTACAGTGTCACCTTGAAAACGACCATAGGTAAGTGTTCCTGTACAGTGTCACTTTGATAACGACCATAGGTAAGTGTTCCTGTACAGTGTCACCTTGATAACGACCATAGGTAAGTGTTCCTGTACCGTGTCACCTTGATAGGTAAGTGTTCCTGTACAGTGTCACCTTGATAGGTAAGTGTTCCTGTACAGTGCTACCTTGATAACGACCATAGGTAAGTGTTCCTGTACAGTGTCACCTTGATAACGACCATAGGTAAGTGTTCCTGTACAGTGTCACCTTGATAACGACCATAGGTAAGTGTTCCTGTACAGTGTCACCTTGATAGGTAAGTGTTCCTGTACAGTGTCACCTTGATAACGACCACAGGTAAGTGTTTCTGTACAGTGTCACCTTGCTAACGACCACAGGTAAGTGCTCCTGTACAGTGTCACCTTGATAACGACCATAGGTAAGTGTTCCTGTACAGTGTCACCTTGATAGGTAAGTGTTCCTGTACTGTGTCACCTTGATAACGACCATAGGTAAGTGTTCCTGTACAGTGTCACCTTGCTAACGACCACAGGTAAGTGTTCCTGTACAGTGTCACCTTGATAACGACCATAGGTAAGTGTTCCTGTACAGTGTCACCTTGATAACGACCATAGGTAAGTGTTCCTGTACAGTGTCACCTTGATAACGACCATAGGTAAGTGTTCCTGTACAGTGTCACCTTGATAGGTAAGTGTTCCTGTACAGTGCTACCTTGATAGGTAAGTGTTCCTGTACAGTGTCACCTTGATAACGACCATAGGTAAGTGTTCCTGTACAGTGTCACCTTGATAACGACCATAGGTAAGTGTTCCTGTACAGTGTCACCTTGATAGGTAAGTGTTCCTGTACAGTGTCACCTTGATAGGTAAGTGTTCCTGAACAGTGCTACCTTGATAGGTAAGTGTTCCTGTACAGTGTTACCGTGATAGGTAAGTGTTCCTGTACAGTGTCACCTTGATAACGACCATAGGTAAGTGTTCCTGTACAGTGTCACCTTGATAACGACCACAGGTAAGTGTTCCTGTACAGTGTCACCTTGATAACGACCATAGGTAAGTGTTCCTGTACAGTGCAACCTTGATAGGTAAGTGTTCCTGTACAGTGTAACCTTGATAGGTAAGTGTTCCTGTACAGTGTCACCTTGATAGGTAAGTGTTCCTGTACAGTGTCACCTTGATAACGACCACAGGTAAGTGTTCCTGTACAGTGTCACCTTGATAGGTAAGTGTTCCTGTACAGTGTCACCTTGATAACGACCATAGGTAAGTGTTCCTGTACAGTGCTACCTTGATAGGTAAGTGTTCCTGTACAGTGTAACCTTGATAGGTAAGTGTTCCTGTACAGTGTCACCTTGATAGGTAAGTGTTCCTGTACAGTGTCACCTTGATAACGACCACAGGTAAGTGTTCCTGTACAGTGTCACCTTGATAGGTAAGTGTTCCTGTACAGTGTCACCTTGATAACGACCATAGGTAAGTGTTCCTGTACAGTGTCACCTTGATAACGACCATAGGTAAGTGTTCCTGTACCGTGTCACCTTGATAACGACCATAGGTAAGTGTTCCTGTACAGTGTCACCTTGATAGGTAAGTGTTCCTGTACAGTGTCACCTTGATAACGACCATAGGTAAGTGTTCCTGTACAGTGTCACCTTGATAACGACCACAGGTAAGTGTTCCTGTACAGTGTCACCTTGATAACGACCATAGGTAAGTGTTCCTGTACAGTGTCACCTTGCTAACGACCACAGGTAAGTGTTCCTGTACAGTGTCACCTTGATAACGACCATAGGTAAGTGTTCATGTACAGTGTCACCTTGATAACGACCATAGGTAAGTGTTCCTGTACAGTGTCACCTTGATAACGACCATAGGTAAGTGTTCCTGTACAGTGTCACCTTGATAACGACCATAGGTAAGTGTTCCTGTACAGTGTCACCTTGATAGGTAAGTGTTCCTGTACAGTGTCACCTTGATAAGTAAGTGTTCCTGTACAGTGTCACCTTGATAACGACCATAGGTAAGTGTTCCTGTACAGTGTCACCTTGATAGGTAAGTGTTCCTGTACAGTGCTACCTTGATAGGTAAGTGTTCCTGTACAGTGTCACCTTGATAACGACCATAGGTAAGTGTTCCTGTACAGTGTCACCTTGATAGGTAAGTGTTCCTGTACAGTGCTACCTTGATAGGCAAGTGTTCCTGTACAGTGTTACCTTGATAGGTAAGTGTTCCTGTACAGTGTCACCTTGATAACGACCATAGGTAAGTGTTCCTGTACAGTGTCACCTTGATAACGACCATAGGTAAGTGTTCCTGTACAGTGCTACCTTAATAGGTAAGTGTTCCTGTACAGTGTCACCTTGATAGGTAAGTGTTCCTGTAGAGTGTCACCTTGATAACGACCATAGGTAAGTGTTCCTGTACAGTGTCACCTTGATAGGTAAGTGTTCCTGTACAGTGTCACCTTGATAACGACCATAGGTAAGTGTTCCTGTACAGTGTCACCTTGATAACGACCATAGGCAAGTGTTCCTGTACAGTGTCACCTTGATAACGACCATAGGTAAGTGTTCCTGTACCGTGTCACCTTGATAACGACCATAGGTAAGTGTTCCTGTACAGTGTCACCTTGATAGGTAAGTGTTCCTGTACAGTGTCACCTTGATAACGACCATAGGTAAGTGTTCCTGTACAGTGTCACCTTGCTAACGACCATAGGTAAGTGTTCCTGTACAGTGTCACCTTGCTAACGACCACAGGTAAGTGTTCCTGTACAGTGTCACCTTGATAACGACCATAGGTAAGTGTTCCTGTACAGTGTCACCTTGATAACGACCATAGGTAAGTGTTCCTGTACAGTGTCACCTTGATTGGTAAGTGTTCCTGTACAGTGTCACCTTGATAACGATCATAGGTAAGTGTTCCTGTACAGTGTCACCTTGCTAATGACCATAGGTAAGTGTTCCTGTACAGTGTCACCTTGATAACGACCATAGGTAAGTATGGGCTTAATTAACAAGATACATGGGATCAATTTTTACGACCATAGGTAAGTAAGACCTTTACAAGATACAGGTGATCATATTTATACGACAGTTTATAAGTTCGCGGTTTATTAGATACAGGTTATTATTTTTTTATAATCGCAGGTAAGTTTGGGGCTTAACGACATACAGGTGATCATATTTTTACGACCATGAGTAAGTGCGGGGTTAACAAGTACAGTTGATTAATTTTTAAGACATATGTAAGTACGGGATTTAGTCGCTACAGGTGATCAGTTTTTTTAGACCATAGGTAAGTAAGGGTTTAACAATATACAGGTGATCATCATTATACGAACATAGGTAAGTATTTGATTCGTGGGTTCCAGGTGGCCACTTACTGTCAAAAACGACTTAAGATAATTACAGGATTGGTCTTAATCAAATAATTTGACATGGAATAAATTCATTAGGTTAAATGAAAACCTAGCCTAAATGTATCCATTATCCAGTGTAAACGTATTTCCTTCTATGCAATCATAAATATATCTACTACTATACAAGTATAAACCGGTTGAATATTACTCAATTATATAAAAAATACACTACTACATTATTTATACTTGATTGTGTTGAAAAAAGTTCATTCCATGATTGTAATTAGGAAGGAATAAAAATGAAAGTCTCTAAAGTGAAGAAAATATTTTTGACTTGAGTTATCCTTGTCCATGATTTTTTGCATTAGATGAAACTGGTCCAATGTAACATAAGCAACATAAGCTTAATTAAATATGTTTTAGAAATATGGGTTTGGTCCACAGTGTAAACAAACGGGGTTTATAATAAATAAAGATATGCATAGCTTTATTCACTAGACCTGCATGTAAGATAAGTGTAACACAATACAATACAGTGTATTTCGGATGCTATAGATAATGAATGCAAAAAATAGTTTATCAAATCTTCAAGTGAAACTAATTTACACATAAAAAAAACTTTATAACAGTTATTTTTTTTTTATGTTTTGAAAGTAAGAAAATTGAAAAAAAAATATTTTCCGTTATAAAAACATTGAAGGCTGAAATATGTGAGCAATTTTTTTCAGAAGATGAGCGTATCTGAAAAATTTGAATTAGAAGTGGGTGAAATTTGAGTAACTAAATGCGCTTAAACCCGTAACCCCCCCCCCCCCCCCCACAAAAAAAAAACAACAAAAAAACAGACATTTTGAAATAAAGAAAATTTTATAAAAATACAATTTCGTTTTGTAAACCGACTGTTTGTTTTGCCTGTACAATGTTAATATCTGTCTACAGGCTACGGCAACATTGTGCCCAAGACAACCGCCGGCCGCATATGCACCATTATCTACTCCATCATCGGCATCCCTCTAACCCTTCTCTATTTGTCCAACGTCGGCGCCATCATGGCCAACCTCTTCAAAATTTTCTTCACTTTCATCATCTCCATCCTGACGAAGCTGAACTGCCTGAAAGCCAAAGCCCGGAGAAAAGACCACGTCCCCATCTACATCTCCCTCATCATCATCGGCTCCTACCTCTTCCTTGGTGCCGTCCTCTTCAGCAGCTGGCAAAAGGACTGGACCTTCATCATCGCGCTCTACTTCTGCTTCATCACGCTCAGCACCATCGGACTCGGGGATTTCGTCTTTGGCTCGGACATCCGAGAGTTCTCAGACTCGAAGCCCATCTTCGGGGTCCTGTATCTGATCGTGGGTCTGTCCGTTCTGTCCATGACGTTTAATCTCATGCAAGAGGATATTGCTATGAAGGCCAATGCGGTCTTGATAAGGCTAGGTCTGAGAGCAGCCATGAAGAAAGCGCAAATGCAAGTGGCCAATTAAATTGATTGGGCTAGAATTCACGGCCATGAAACAAAAGCCCAAGTGTTACTGGCCAACTAAATTGATGTGGTTGGGGTTCAGGGCTTTGGTGAAAGGCCAAATACATGTGACAATCTAAAGTTGTAAGACAAAGTCTTACTGAGGCTATGAAGTAACCCCCCTTACATAAAGACTTTGATAATCCATACATCTGTTTTTAAAGTTTTTATCAAACAGATCGAATCAATGCTTTCTATACATGGGTGTATCAAATTTTCAACGCATCCTATGTAGCATGTGTACATGTTTAACATGCAAAGCAAACGTACATTGTGAATACAACCTGATAAACGCTCTACTTTTAAAACTCAGGATTATATTTCGTATACAATTTTGTGGTTGTTTATTTTTAAATTAATTCGGTTTAATAATCCATCGCTTTATGTGTATGTGTATCAGATTGTGCTTACCTGACTATGTTTGTTTGTTTGTTTGGTAGTTGTCTTAACATATGATCAGATATCTGTTCCGATACTCAACAAGAGGTTACTTGTTATTTCTTTGTCCCAGTCTAGTCAACTCAATGATTTCACCGTTGTTGATAAATTCATCTTTTGTTTTGTTGTGTGAATATAGCGTCCTCTCTTTACTTTGTGTTATTGTATTTTTTAATATTAAAGTATAGATCGGAAAGAACATAATCCACAATGTATTCAAAAGATCAATTTTTATTTTTTTTTATTGTTTCTGCTATGTTACTTTTGAATTAAAAAAATATGTAACAAATTAATTCTTTGTTTTCTTGGATGTATTATGTCAATGTTAATTGTATACAATATATAACGGTGTAGTCTTAGCTGCTATTTACGATAATTTATGAATCTAACCATAAACCAGAAACTAGCCATTGAATGAAATCCGCAATTTTCTTGTTAATGAAATAATTTTGTTTTGTTTTTTGACAAATGTCGTACATTTATTGTTTAGGAAATACCCACTGCTTGACGAAAAAAAAAACCAACAACGTAGTTAATTAAAATATTGAAAGAAATCTAGCAGTTATTAATGTTTCACACCAATAAACATCTGTGAAACAGTGCAATGCGCATTCAAAGGTGCGGCTTTAGATTTCCAAGATAGTAAACAAAACTCTTCTTGAGATTAATGTAAATCTACATTCATTGTAATAAAATGAGGTAAAAAAAAATGTATTTTGATCTATATTGATTGTTCGTGTATTTTCGATGCATGCAGTTATTTTAAAGTTTAACCATAGTATCTTGGGCTGACACAATTATTTGCTTGTGTTTCCTCAGACTAGACTATTTAGTGTCGTGATATTTAGGGATGTGACTAGCTATTGCAAATGAGAGATCGGATTATTTTAAAATAAATTCCTTGTCCTAACGCCAGCCGTAAACACAGGCCACAATCACATCCACAGTCATTAGCCATCGACCATCAGACGTCAGTCATTAGCCATCGACCATCAGACGTCAGTCATTAGCCATCGACCATCAACCTCCAGACATTAGCCATTAGCCATTAGCCATTAGCCATTAGCAATTAGCCATTAGCCATTAGTCATTAGCCATCGACCATCAGACATTAGCCAATAGCCATCGACCATCAGACAATAGACATTAGCCATTAGCCATTAACCATTAGCCATTAGTCATTAGCCATCGACCATCAACCTTCAGACATTAGCCATTAGACATTAGCCATCGAACATCAGACAATAGACATTTGCCATTAGCCATTAGCCAATAGCCATTAGCCATTAGCCGTTAGCCGTTAGACGTTAGCCGTTAGCCATTAGCCATCAGCCATTAGTCATTAGCCATTAGCCATTAGCCATTAGTCATAAAACATTAGCCATAAAACATTAGCCATAAAACATTAGCCATAAAACATTAGCCATAAAACATTAGCCATAAAACATTAGCCATAATTATTAGCCATAAAACAGCCATAAAACATTAGCCATAAAACATTAGCCATAAAACATTAGCCATAAAACATTAGCCATAAAACGTAAGCCATAAAACATTAGCCATAAAACATTAGCCATAAAACATTAGCCATAAAACATTAGCCATAAAACATTAGCCATAAAACGTAAGCCATAAAACATTAGCCATTAGCCATTAGACATTAGCCACTAGCCGTTAGCCCTAGCTACAGCTCGTTGCCACTGGTCACATGTTTGGCTATTCGTTATTAAAAAATTCATTAGTCATTAGACATCGACCATCAGACAATAGACATTAGCCATTAGCCATTAGCCATCGACCATCAACCTTCAGCCATTAGCCATTAGCCATCGACCATCAGACAATAGACATTAGCCATTAGCCATTAGCCATTAGCCATTAGCCATTAGCCGTTAGCCGTTAGCCGTTAGCCGTTAGCCATTAGCCATTAGCCATAAAACATTAGCCATAAAACATTAGCCATAAAACATAAGCCATCGACCATCAACCTTCAGACATTAGCCATTAGACATTAGCCATCGAACATCAGACAATAGACATTAGCCATTAGCCATTAGCCATTAGCCGTTAGCCGTTAGCCGTTAGCCGTTAGCCGTTAGCCGTTAGCCGTTAGCCGTTAGCCGTTAGCCATCAGCCATCAGCCATTAGCCATTAGCCATAAAACATTAGCCATAAAACATTAGCCATAAAACATTAGCCATAAAACATTAGCCATAAAACATTAGCCATAAAACATTAGCCATAAAACATTAGCCATAATCATTAGCCATAAAACATTAGCCATAAAACATTAGCCATAAAACATTAGACATTAGCCATTAGCCATTAGTCCTAGCTACAGGTCGTTGCCACTGGTCACATGTTTGGCTATTCGTTATTAAAAAAATAATTTCCGTTGAGTTCAGTTTAAGGACAATCTAAATGCGCCTGGCGCTTTAGTTGAATGTCATTATAAATGTGTTCATTATCGATTATCTAGAGTCCTATATTCTTAGTTACCTGGCTAAGATAACTACATATTATATGTTAAAGTTGAGCTTAGAGTTTTTGTAAGGTCCGGTAGTTTTTGATAGTTTTACATGATACTGTTGTTGTTTTGTTTTTTTTAAACCCTGGTTTAGCGAATAAACAGTGTCGATTATTTTGGTAATACATGCATGCATTCAGGTTGGTCAAGTTGGGGTTTTAAAATATGTAGAGTAGACAAAACGTAGATAATGGAGAAACAAAGACGCTAGGAGAGACAAATCATACCGATACACACATACACATACACATACTCAAACACAGTTACTAGCACATCTCTCCCACCCCCCATACACACACACACTCAACTTAATTTTCTCGAAAAAAAAATTTAAAGCCTTTAATCTTGTCTTAGAATCTGAGTGTCAATAACCTCACTATAATCTGCAGCTTGAATACCAGTACACCTGCTTAACACCTTCGTGGTAACCTCTAAAATGTGAACAAAACTCCACCCTAAAATTTAAAAAAAAATTGTTTTTGTACTTTAAATAAATATGTTTTATTTGACATTTTCTACAGGATAAATCTAAAAGTTTCTAATGAAACGTGATTTGTCAGTTTTCATCGTACTTGAAGTAGAAGACTATCTGGTTTTTATAATTAGTGAAAATTGAATTAACACAGGGGTTTTGGCAGGAGCTTACCACACATGGTTAACTTGGTTCAAGTGTGACGCGAGTGTTATGGACCAAGTCAGCGCCGTGAAAGCTACTCACCCTCTGCAAGCTGATGCCTTGACCATCCTACCTGACAGAAACACGAATCCGCATTTGTCAGGTCAAACACATCCGCCCCACACCAACAATAACTCAAACAGCCAACAAGATTCTCCCCACGTAAACAATAATTCAACCATCAAAACATATCCTCCCAACACAAACGGTAGCTCCAGCAGCAAAACACAGCCACCACACATAAACAATAACTCAACACGCAATGCACATCTTACCCACACAAACGATAACTCAAACAGCCAACCACATTCTCCCCACACAAACGATAACTCAAACAGCCAACCACATTCTCCCCACACAAACGATAACTCAAACAGCCAACAACATTCTCCCCACACAAACGATAACTCAAACAGCCAACCACGTTCTCACCACACAAACGATAACTCAAACAGCCAACCACATTCTCCTCACGCAAACGATAACTCAAACAGCCAATCACATTCTCCCCACACAGACGATAACTCAAACAGTCAACCACATCCTCCCTCCACACACCACCACTCCACAGCCCACAAAGACAACAAGCCCGGCAACAGCATGCACCTCAACATCAGCACCATCTTCGACGTAGATTGGAACATTGGCAGCACCGTCGACACGGGCCACCCACGCTCGGGCCACCCACCCACGGGCCACCCACCCACGGGCCACCCACCCACGGGGCATGAGGGCGGGCCCGTCAAGCACTGCTGTAGTCCCAGGATGTTGAAGCTGCTGTTGAGCGTAATCCTGTTCCTGGTGCTCATCGCCTACCTGGTCTGCGGTTCCCATCTCTTCACCTACTGTGAGGAAAACTTCACGATCGAGCGCGGGGACGAGACGCTATACGAGCAGCTCAGGAAAAAGTTTACCCAAAAGGTTGGACAAAATTTGCTTTTGACTTCGTAGGTTGCTTTTAAAAAAATGTTAAGCAGTGTTTTGTTTTCCAACGTAATTTTAATGTATCCTCGTGTTAAGCTGACCTATTGCTTAATTCCAGCAGTACATGAAAGAAAAAAAAAAAAATATATATATATATATATATATATATATATATATATATATATATATATATATATATATATATATATATATATATATATATAAATATATAAATATATATATATATATATATATATATATATATATATATATATATATATATATATATATATATATCTATATCTATATATATATATATATATATATATATATATATATATATATATATATATATATATATATATATATATGTAAATATTCATTACTGCTCATATTTTCAGATTCTAGCATCTGCCCAACGTGAGACTGCAGGCAATGTTAATATTTCAAACACCCCCAACACAAACTCAGCTAACGTGAAACAAATCGAATCCGCTGTCGATAATACCTACCTCGAGGAATCAGAGATCGAGGATTTAATGAAGAAGTACAAAGAGGAGGTCATCAATGTGTATAAAAGTCAGCCCCCACGATACGAATGGGACTTCGTCTCGTCGCTTCTGTACTGCGTGAGCCTCATTACAACGATAGGTGAGCGATCAGCGGTGATCGAAACTGGTGAACAAAATTTCGAGCACTTTTAACTTACAGATTCGTTTCAAACTTGGCGCGTGGGTCAAGGCCCTAGTACAATGCAATCTGAAATTAATTTTGATTTAATTAGATGCCTAATTGATTTTTTAATAATTAATAAATGTTTCCTATATAAAGTACTATTCACTGCGCTATTATAAGCACAATTTTCTTGCTCGTGTATAGAACAAATCCACATAATCCGCAACATCAACACTAATTCCTAACATATTTTACTACCTTTACAGGTTATGGGAACATTGTTCCTTTAACTCCGATAGGACAGTTTGCAACCATCATCTACAGTATTATTGGCATACCACTGACTCTCTTCTATCTTGCCATGGTCGGCAGTATATTAGCGGACGGATTCTCATCCCTTTATCTCCGTGTACTAAAACTGTTCCGGAGGGACAAGAAAACTTTGGATGATATTCATGCGGCAGTTCCACTGGTTATAATCCTCTTGTATTTGTCTTGCGGGGCAGCCATGTTTGCGTCTTGGCATGACAACTGGACCCTGGGCGAGAGCGCCTACTTCTGCTTCATCACCCTCAGCACCATTGGGCTCGGGGACTACGTCTTCGGTGGGGAGGTGGAGCAGAAGGACCCCGCCAAGATGATGGGCTCCGTCATCTACGTCATCATCGGGATGTCCTTGTTCTCCATGACCTTTAACCTCATGCTCAAGCATATGATTTTCTACATAAATTGGTTCCTACATAAGTTGAGTCTCTTCAACAGGGTTGATATTTTGAATGATTGGGAAAAGTTTTCGAAAGCGCACCGTCCTATGAGGTTTGATGGCGAAGAGTGTAGTTGAGAGAGTGATCGATGGCTGGGAAGAGATCAATTTAAGAAAAATATTCCGTTAGGAAAAAATACTGTGGGAGAAATGTTGATTATACTGGCTAATAGTATGAATTTGTGATTTTTTTGTAAGCAAAAAGGTTTTATTTTATTTGTTTTATGTAATGTGTAGCCTACAATAAATCTGTTCCACAAATTTACAAGAAATATGTTAATTTGGGAGTGTTGGGGAAACTTGACTTGGGTGTTGTAGAAATATGACGGAATTTGAGAAACTTGACTTGGGTGTTGGGGAAATATGACTTGTGTGTTGAGAAACATGACTTGGGTGTTGGAGAAATATGACGGAATTTGAGAAACTTGACTTGGGTGTTGGGGAAATATGACTTGTGTGTTGAGAAACATGACTTGGGTGTTGGAGAAATATGACGGCATTTGAGAAACTTGACTTGGTTGTTGGGGAAATATGACTTGTGTGTTGAGAAACATGACTTGGGTGTTGGAGAAATATGACGGCATTTAAGAAACGTGACTTGGTTGTTGGGGAAATATGACTTGGGTGTTGGGGAATCTTGACTTGGGTGATGGAGAAACATGACTTGGATGTTGAGAAACATGACTTGTGTGTTGGGGAAATATGACTTGTGTGTTGGGGAAATATGACTTGGATGTTGAGAAACATGACTTGGGTTTTGGGAAATCTTGACTTATGTGATGGAGAACCATGACTTGGATGTTGAGAAACATGACTTGGGTGTTGGGGAAACTTGACTAGGGTGATGGAGAAATATGACTTGGATGTTGAGAAACATGATTTGTGTGTTGGTGAAATATGACTTGGATGTTGAGAAACTTGACTTGGGTGTTGAGAAAATTGACTTGGGTGTTGGGGAAATATGACTTGGGTGTTGAGGAAATATGACTTGGATGTTGAGAAATATGACTTGGGTGTTGGGGAAATATGAATTGGGTGTTGGGGAAATATGACTTGGATGTTGAGAAACAAGACTTGGGTGTTGGGGAAACTTGACTAGGGTGATGGAGAAATATGACTTGGATGTTGAGAAACTTGACTTGGGTGTTGGGGAAACATGACTTGGATGTTGAGAAACATGACTTGGGTGTTGTGGAAATATTACTTTGGAAAAACTGACTGCATCAGAGCTAGAAAACCAACAGCAACATGGGTTGTTGATCTTAAGATTGATGTACACATTTTTATGTTCATTGTGAATAGCTTGAATTGGTATATTAATACTAATAGTTTCGCTGTCTGTCTATCTATCTATCTGACAAGAACGCTCTAGAGAAAACACAAGCAAATTAAAAACATGCATAGTAATTCGAAAAACGAAGTATGACGTCGTCACATTTAGCACAGAGTAGAAAATAATCTCAAGCCGGAGAGTGCACACAGTAATATGACGTCATTGATTCTCGAGTAAACATTGAATAAAAAGGAAATTTTGTCTAATCTAAGTGGTTTGCGTGAAAAGTTTCTTTCATACAATTCTTCGGGTAGGGGCGAAGCCCCACCCCCGCGTAAGAACGTCCGATCCCCCCCCCCCCTCCCTAACTCAAAAGAAATTTCTTCATCGATACTCTATAATAAAATTACCGCCTAATTAATGTGTCTAATCTAAAAAGTGGTTTTCTTGCAATTTCTTTAATGCAATTCTTCGGGTAGTGGCTAAGCGCGACACCAGTGTTTCTTTCAGACTTTTTCCTCCCCGGAGAGGGGTGGGGGTACTTGAAATTTTCGGGGGCGGGGGTAGAATTTTCGGGGTTGGGGTGGACACTGGAAAAAGTATATAATTATATTTCGTTGAATGGGACGGTAGACATGTTTTTTGGGGGGGTGGGGGTGGTGTGTGTGTGTGGGGGGGGGGGTGGGGTGGGGTGGTTTTAGTTTAGAGAAAAGAGACAGCACTATCAGCCTAGCGCCCGTTGTATCCTTCCTCAACGGGCCATTTTTCTCGTAAGTAAATAGTTGCCAAATTTAGACACGTGTAAATTTGGCTTAAAAAAAGTAAACATAGCCTTTTATTCCTAAATGCTCATAGGGCAGATGAAGCAGAGTTCATATATATATTTTGGGCTCGGCAAAAAAAAAAGAATGGTGTGGTCAGCACTATGCCCAACCGCCTTTACTTTTTATGAGTCAGGGACGTCCCACAGCCCTAGTCCACGGGTTCCCAACCTGGGGGTCGCGACCCCCTTGGGGGTCGCGAAGGTCTTTCTGGGGGGTCGCCAACTGGTATACTAAACCTTAGTAATTTGAAACAAAACATAAATATTTAGAAGAATTTTTTAAATTCGGCTTCATTAACATCACTGGAAATGTAATAGAGAAGAAACAAAGCGCACTGTACAAAGTTGTTCTCAGTCACGAATCTATGAAATCTTCAAAACTAAAACGCCATTTGAGACGAGTCATTCGCAACACACCAAAAAATATATGGAGTTCTTTCGTCGGTAAGAAGCTAGTTGCAAACGCCAGAGACTTGATCGAACAGGAAGTTTTCACCAGCATTAGTGCAAGCATCAAATGAAGTCGCGATAGACAATGCCAAGCAAAAAAAAAAAAAAAAAAAAAAAAAAAATAAACAACAGGAGAAAATCTCATCATAACACATTTTTATCGAAATTAAGCTTTCACCACTGTTTGCTTTTCAAGTTGATAAATCAACAGACGTGAGTTCGTGTTCGAAGTTGCTGGTCTGTGTCTATATTCATGCGGATGATAGCAAAGAAGAGTTGCTCTTTTGTGAAGATAGCATGTAGAAAATAAATTCCTTTTTGAAACTGGATGATTAAAATGGTTTAGAACGGCTGTGGGGGGGGGGGTTGTACGGATGGTGCGCCATCTATGTTTAGCTCAAAATCGGGCTTTCAGAAAACAGAAAAGATTTAGCTCCCTAACCACTGCCCTAACCAATCGACATCAAGAGTCCATTGCTAGTATAAGTCGTAAATTATATAAAATCTGGAACCTTCAAAGAAATGAGCAAAAACATTAATATAGATCACGAGGTTCTGCTCTTCTACACTACAGTACGCTGGCTGTCAAACGAAATGTTGTAAATTGTGTTTTTGAATTGAAATCTGAAATCAAATTGTTCTTGGAAGTGCAAAGGAAACAAGACTTTTTGGTATACTTAAAACGACATAGAGTGGTTGGAGAGAGCATCAAGATTAGCTTAACCTGAAGCTTCAGGTGAAATGAACGAATATTATAACTTTCCATGATAATCTCGGGGCATTTTTATCAAAGTTGTAAAATCGGTAAAGAAAATAAATCTTGGAAATATTGTAAATTTGAGAAACTCTGCGGTGTAGTAGATGAATATGATTGTAAGATAATTAAAATTTTGAAAGAAGCGATTTCTGGGCATCTTTACATAAAATTACCTGAAAAAAATATGTTTCATATTAATAAAAACCCACGTTCCTAGGATACGCTAAAACATATTTTTCAGGCTACCAAAAAAAAAATTTTTAGATTACCCCAAAACCCATTTTTCAGGTTTATAAAAACCAACATTCCAGATTACCAACCATCAATGTTTTGGGTAACCAAAAACCAATGTTTATGACACACAGGAACCCATATCTGCAGTTTACCCAAAAACCCATGTCACCAAAGAACTCATTTCTGCAGTTTACCCAAAAACCCATTTTCATGTCACCCAAAAACCCATTTCTGCAGTTTACCCAAAAACCCATTTTCATGTCACTCAAAACCCCATTTCTGCAGTTTACCCAAAAACCCATTTTCATGTCACCCAAAAACCCATTTCTGCAGTTTACCCAAAAACCCATTTTCATGTCACCCAAGAACCCATTTCTGCAGTTTACCCAAAAACCCATTTTCATGTCACCCAAAAACCCATTTCTGCAGTTTACCCAAAAACCCATTTTCATGTCACCCAAAAACCCATTTCTGCAGTTTACCCAAAAACCCATTTCTGCAGTTTACCCAAAAACCCATGTTTCATGTCATACAAGAACCCACTTTTGCAGGTTACCCAACCCAAAAACAATTTTTCGGACTACCCAAAAAAAAACACGTTTCATTCATTTTAACCGAAAACCGATTTTTCCAAACACCTATATTATACTTATACTCTTCTTTAGCAAAATTTGAATCGATAAACTTTTTAATGTACTTTGAGTATGCAACGTAAAACATGTAGGTCAAAAGGTCAAGCTATTATCAAGTGTTCGATATTATTCTCCAGCTAATCAATGCTAGCTGATGACAGGTAAAATTATTACAAACTATTTAATTTCCATTGATTTTGTGTGTATGTGTGTGTGTGTAGGGCATATTGATTTTTAAAAATATATCTATAAAATGTGGTTGAGAATCTAATCATTTGATATCGTTTTATTACAAAGTTAAGCTTAACTTTGATAACAGCACAAATCATGATTATCTTTGTACTGTGCGCTTTCCTGCATTATGGATTGACGTTCCCTAGCGGCGAAAATACACAAGCAGCGCAAGAAACCAACCCTGAAACTTCACAAAACTCTACCAGTCATGAGCTCTACAAGCGTGACAAAGACTGCCCAATGCCATCTGACCTGCCAGAGAGACTGGACCAGCTAAACCCAGAGTTGAACCTCAGTCAGATAGTGGCTAGCACTAAACAGGAAGCTCTTTACCCCCACGAGTTCAAGAACCTCAAGTGCCCTACTGGATATGGCGGCTGGTGGCCGATATTCACTAGCTATCATAACTTGGAGTCCATGTGTCCTTGGGAGCATGTTGTGCGTGAACTGGGTGACGAGTACTACCCTTCGTAAGTAACGCTAACAGCTAACGTTACGTACATATAAAATTAAAGCATTGTCGTGGTGGTTGGTTGTGTGCGTATTATTATTGCGTATATTAATATATATATATATCGAAATCAAGAGCTATTTCAGACTTTGGCCGGTCCACCATGGCCAGTCTGCGGATTGGCCGGCCAAAGGCCGAAATCAAGCAAAGTTTCGGACTTTGGCCGGCCAATCCTAGCATTGGCCGACTTCGGGCTTTGACCGTAACATATACATATATACGAGCCGAGGCTCAGCACTGCCTTTTGTGGGAAAAAAACTATCTGTAAAGGAGCTTGACGTGTGTTTATTCAGCAACATATACGTTAAATTTGCAATTAATGTATATAATATTATGCAAACATAGAAAATATATATAATCGTAAACCTAAATCCAAACCTAACCCCTACCACAACCAACCACTACCACAAATATAAAAGTAAAGGAACATAGACATAGACATAACCCTTCTACCCTTATATCACTTTTACGTCTAAAAAACCCATTCGCACACATAAAAACATTAATTTAAGCATAGAAATAAAACCAATTAAACATAAACCATAACCCTCACCACAACTTCAAACTTAATACATAAAAACATAAACCATCTCTCACCACAATCTCAACGACCACTACATACATCAACTCCATTCCTTCCCCGCACTTCTAAGCCTAAAATAACATCAACGTGAATCAAAAACATACACACACACTCATAAACCCTAACCATCATTACTGCCTTAAAACATAAGCACAAACACACACAAAAACATAAACATTAGCATTAGCATAAACATAAACTAACCTTCACTAAACCACAACCTGAATCAATAACATACACTAGTATGTCTACACCTGCATATATTTCTATACATATGCATATAGCTATATCTAAACTTATAACTATCCTATTCCTAACGTGTCTTAGACCAAAACCCGCAATACACCCGAATGCAGTTTCCCCAAAGACCGTTTTCCTAATGGACATTTGTCCGAATACCCAAATGGACAAATACACCAAAGCGATACATTTGCCACAAATTACATTCCTTACTGTTTTAACTCAAATACTATACCGAGTATATTTTTAAACCAATTTTGAAATGTAATAACACTTACATAATATCAATCTAAACTCAGTATAAAACCCATATAAACTAACCTTAACTTTACCATAGCAATAAAGCACCAAAATGTAACGTATCGTAACACCAACCCAATTAAATAAATCTATATAATCAAATCTTTAAATTCTACTGCGAGTAACATAGTACTAAAAAAATAATTATTATACAATGCAGTTGTGTTGAGGTATTAAGTAAAACCTCTTGTATAATTATAGCAGCATTTAAATTTGTATTATATCATCAACCCGTTTTTAACAAACTTTTATTTCACTTGAATAGATTAAAACGCTCGAGCGAAATTTCGGCCCTTCTAACTGACAGATTCCGTTCAAAGTTGGCACGTGGGTAAACGCATAAAGACAATGCAATCTGACATTCAGAAGCCCCACCCTCGCGGAAGAACGTCTAAGCAACCCCACCCCCCACCCCCCAACTCAAAAGAAATGTCATCATCGATACTCTATAATAAAATTACCGCCTAATTAATGTGTCTTATCTAAAAAGTGATTAGCGTGCAGAGTTTGTTTCATGCAATTTTTCGGGTGGGGCTTAGCGTTTTGCGTGTTGAGTTTATTTTATGCAATTCTTCGAATAGTGGTTAAGCGCAACACTCGTGTTTCTTTCCGACTTTTCCTCTCCGGAGCGGGGAACTTGAATTTTTTCTAATCTAAAAAGTGTTTTGCGTGCAGTTTCTTTCATGCAACTCTTCCAGGCTCTACCTTTAGTTTGTATGATCAACAAATGCGACCAGTGTTTCTTTCAGACATTTTTCTCCCCGGAGAGGAATGGGGGTACTTGAAATTTTCGGGGGCAGGGTGGAATTCTCTGAGAGGGGAAAAAATGTATATAATTATATTTTGTTGAATGGGACGGTAGACAAGTTTTGTGGTGTGTGTGTGGGGGGGGGGGGGGGGCAGAGCCCCTTCCTCCCAAGTAGAGTTGCCTGAAAGAAACTTTAAATGCGACTTTTGTCATGATTGACATAAGGCGCATGGTTTAGATGTATGGCTACGACTATATTTAGTATAAGTGCGCGATAACTACGCGAAGATCATTCTTAAATCGGATTAAAATGACGATTCTGGATAAAAATCCGTTTTCAATGTCATTTTTCGTTTCTGTTTAAATTTGAAGTATAGGTGGTGATTTTGGTTTTGGTTTTAGTTTAGAGAAAATAGACAGCACTATCAACCTAGCGCCCGTTGTATCCTTCCTCAACGGGCCATTTTTCTCGTCTATACTAATTGTTTTGCTGTCTGTGTATGTATGTATCTATCTATCTATCTGACAAGAATGCTCTAGAGAAAACACAAGCAAAATAAAAACATGCATAGTAAAACGGAAACGAAACATGACGTCACATTGGTAGTCTAAAGCCGGTAGAGTGCACACAGTAATATGACGTCATTGATTCTCGAGTAAACATTGAATTAAAAAGCCAATTTTGTCTAATCTTAAAAGTGGTTTGCGTGAAGAGTTTCTTTCATACAATACTTCGGGTAGGGGCGAAGCCAATCCCCCGAGTAAGACCCGACCCCCCCCCCCCCCCCACACCCTCCAACTCAAAAGAAATGTCGTCATCGATATTCTATAATAAAATTACCGCCTAATTAATGTGTCTAATCTAAAAAGTGGTTAGCTTGCAGTTTCTTTCATGCAATTCTTCGGGTAGTGGCTAAGCGCGACACCAGTGTTTCTTTCAGACTTTTCCTCTCCGAAGGGAGGAACTTTTTCTAATCTAAAAAAAAATGTTTAGCGTGTAGTTTTTTTCGTGTATCTCTTCCGGTATCAATCTAGCGCCCGTTGTATCCTTCCTCAACGGGCCATTTTTCTCGTTATTTAAGAATGATGAGAAAGACTAAAAAGAGGAATTCAGAAACTCTGTAAATTAGAGACCATATATCACCATATTTAATTTAAATGTAAGAATAACTAAAAGGCTAAATAACTAAATGAGGTCTTAATTAGTGATAAAATAAATAATATTTAGTAAACAATCCAGCTTAATGCTTTCTTTTTAAAAAATGTAACCCATTCCTTACACTCTAAAACAAATAATTTAGCCCAATCATTCCTCTCAACAAGAAATAATTGACACTAATATTTATCTCTACAGCAAAATCTACGAGGCCCAATGCCTATGCGCCCACTGTATCCACGCCAACGCTAACAGCTGCTACAAAGTGCGAGCGCCTCTGTTGGTCTTCAAGCGTCTACGGTGTAACCACGGCGTGGCGATTATGGAGAAGGATGAAGTGATGTACACCACTGGGTGCCAGTGCATCAGCAACTACGTCCACAACAGTGACGTCCCTGTTACAGAGTAGCCACACTACGTGGACTCACAGGGCGCGTACCAGATCTGTTTATGTGCAGACCACAAAAGGAATAAAGCCAAATTTTCATTTCTAGTTAATAGGGCTTAGGATTTTGTTTTGTTTTGTTTCCAGCAGTCTATTCGGTAAGAAAAGTATGTTTTTAGGGCACTGCACAGAACAATGCCAGTGCTTTTTAACACGTTTTTCTTAACTCAGCTTCGCGTTTATTTGTTTGTTTATGTATTTGTTTGTTGTTAAAATTGACAACGAAAATTAGCCCACTTCTGATTGCTCTAGACATCTTAAATTCGGCATGCAGGCTATTTTTGCCTAACAATTTCAGATGCAATCATAAAAACTAGCGATTAAAGACCTAAATTAGCTTAATTAAATTACGCCCCAAGGACCCTAAAATTGAGGACGTGATTTCTAAAGCAAAAATTATCAATCCAGATTTATCAAAACAAAATTATGAGGTTTTATCAGTGGCGGAGTGGTCTAGCGGTAGAGAGTTGGACTGCTAACCCGTTTGTCTCGAGATCGAATCCGGGTTTAAGTCAGTAGACCGTCCCTGAGTCCACCCAACTCTGATGGGTACCTAAAAATCCTATAAATTTTTATGTATTTAAAAACACTTAGTCAAGTCATACTTAATCAAGTCATTAGATAAAGTAGAAAATAAGCAATATAATAAAAACTTTTTAAAAACCACGTTTTTCATGTGTAGCAACGGACTAAAAAGGAGAAAATAAAATACTTAAAAAAAAAAACATTTAAAAAAACACGTTTTTCTTATGGACTAAAAAGTAGAAAATAAATTTTTCTTCCGACCCTTGGGGATCTACCAATGACTGCTCGTAGATTTTGTGATTCCTCGAGCTGTGCAGGTTCTTGTGATGACTGTTCATACATTTGATGACAAAAAACGTGGGTCGGGCAGATGGGTCGGGAAATTTGATGGTGAACGTACCCACGTTTTTTGTCATCAAATGTATGAACAGTCATCACAAGAACCTGCACAGCGCGTTATCATGTTCATTGGGTGAGCAATGGTATTTAGTCATGAAAAGCTCGTTACAATTTTGTGTGGCCAGAAAGCATACTTTTCAAACAAAATTCAATATTTTATAACATTAGTGTAATAAGTAAAAAATTACTTCCGGTGCAAGAAATAATTACTAGTACTATAATAGTAATTTAGCAAACAATATAATTTTTCAATTTAATTGGGATTAGCAAAGTCAGGGTGCTTTGGTGATCAGGGATGTTGTATTGTTTGATATAAATACAGTACTACGCTATATACCATAGATCACTATAGTGTATTTTTAAAAAGGAAAGCAATTGTTCTAGCTTTTATTGTTTAAGTCTCCAATTTATCGGTGTGTGTATGTATGTATGTGTGTGTGAGTGTGTGTGTGTGTGTGTATGTGTGTGTGTGTAAATTGAGGTGCCACTTAAATGTTCAAAACATCCGAACAGTTAGCAAAAATTAGCTTTAAGAATTATACACTTTTAAACTGTCCCTCAATTTTATAATTTAAAGCATCAAGTAGCTACGATGAAGTATACATTATTTATAGAATGAAAATCGATTTTTCTTATCCATCTTTAAACTGTGTTCATTGTTAGTTAATGTAATCCGCCTACCATTTAACCGACTGATGATTGTTTAATCAACTTATGCGATTGTGTATCTGGCCCGATTGTAAATATAATTTACAGCAGAGCAGTAGAAGAAATATAATATAGACAGCCTCGAGATCCGATTTGACAACTGTTAAATAACAACCAGGATAGTAGAAGAAATATAAAGCCTCAAGATCCGAGTTAACAACTGTTGAACAACAAACGATGTTTGGTCTACTGTGTGTGTTATCGTGTCTGGTGTCCCAGAGTAGAGCCGCAAGTCTAAACCATTTTAACGCAAATGGTGGTGTAAAATCACACTTGACCACCAAAAAACCGCCAGCAAATGCAACGCGTTTTGATGACGTCGTACATAAATCCAGCGACCCGCCACCAAATTTACAAGAACACGAAAATCCCGGACCGGGAAACGCGACGAGTGATCAACTTTCACGTGCCCGACGCCAGACGACCGAGTCTTGTCCATTGCCGCCTGACTTTCCAGAGTTGATCACGGAATTGGGCGCGTACCTCAACACGACCGCGCTGTTGACCAAAGAAGACGACCATATGAATTGGGAGGTGAACGTATCCTATGTGGAGAAAGACAACTGCCCCAAGCCTAGAGGTGACTGGTGGCCCATGGACCAACCCAACTTGAGAACCATCTGTCCCTGGAGATATGAGATCATTGACTTGGGAGAACTCTACTATCCTAGGTGAGTTAATAACGTGTTATGGACCGTCAGTCGACTACAATCATTCCTAGCTGAATTTTTCAATGTAATATAGCGATGCATTTAATCAATATGCGTTAATAAAATGCTAGCGCATACCTATGTTCGTAACTGTATCTGCATCCATTTTTGTGTGCAAGTCCTTTTTCGTATTTATATCCATGTCTGTGTTTATAATTATACTTGTTCTTCTGTCAAGTATTGCTTCTGTTGCTGTGTTGCTATTGCTTTCACTATAGTTCCGACAAAGACGATGTTAAAATTTAGGTTAAGATTTTCATGGTTTATGCTTAGGTTTAGTAGGGAATGAATGGTCGTATGGTAGAGAGCTCGACTGCTAACCCGAAGTCACAAATTCGGATCTCTGTCCAGATTTAAGACTGCTGGACGTCCACTAATCTTGGATTCGTGCCTGTCTCACGCTAACGATCGTATGGGCGGCTAGACAAAATAATAATCTCACCATTCTTTAAAATAATAAACCGGGAGTTATCTCCCATAATCTTTCTCGAATATTCTTATTTAAACAAAGGGGAATGGGAACTCGGGATATAGTTATGATTTTAATCCATTTTAAATACTTACACTTTTTAAAATAGAATAGCATCTCATAGAAAAAAGAATTGCGCACCAAGCGAACGACAAATAAAGAAGTTCATAATAGTGCGCAATATTATTAGTACTTTATAAATTTACATGCGTTTTTTGAGAAATCAAAACAGCGTAAATTAGTACTTCCGGTCAACGGAAACTACTCAAATTTTGACATAAGGTAGAGAATTAGATTTTACACTTACAGGTGAAATTTCATTTATCTATCTGAAATAGTACTCAAGTTATAGGCTTTTTAAAAAAAATTCAAAGTAGAAAAAGCATCACTTCCGGTTATCGGAAATCGCTCAAAAGTTGATAAATATCTACGATTTTGATATCATACTTATATATGAAATTTCATCAACCTAGCTGTAACGGTACTCAAGTTATCGTGTTTACACACACACAGGTACACAGACACACAGACAGTCACACAGACATACGGACAAGATTGCAAAGTTATGTTTTTTCCGTATCAGTGAGGTGTAAAACGTCGAGATTTGGAAAAATAACGATTTTTTTTGCACGATTACAAGACTTTCTCTATACTTCGTATATACGAGAAAGTAAAAAAAAAAACAAAAAAAAAAACTCTACTTCATCTACTCTGTTGAGCGTTAATCCTGAAAGTGGGAAATTAAGGTTTAGATTTAGGTTTAAGTTTAGGTTTAGATTCAGGGTTAGGTTTATAAACATTTCAACTCCTACCGTTTTCTGTCGCACAGGAGGCTGCTAACGAGTCACTGTTTGTGCATGAACTGCCTACAAGCCAACTCCTTTAACTGTGCTGCCATTCGCGCAAAGGTCACCGTCATCAAGCGTGACGGGTGTAAGCACGGCCTGGCTGTCATGAGGAAGGAACACAGGTGGATTGCCACAGGGTGCCACTGTCAGGCCCACGCACTTCAGAGTGGTGGGGTGCATGGATCCTTGATTACCCCCTAACTCGTACCTGTATAGGATTGGCCCAGGCATGTATACCAATCCAGCCACACATAAAAGCACAATGAACATGTCAATTATACTTTAAAACAATTAAAAATGAGTAATTTTGAGAATGTTTTTTTATTTCTTTACCCACAATAAAACCCTTTGTGTGTGTAAGAACATGTTGTTTAATTTTTCCAAATGGCGTCAACTTAATAGTGGACAACCAAAATAGCTAAGGTAGATATAGCTCGGTTAGCTCATTTCAGTTTTAAATCTTGTAGTTTGTTCTAGGTTGGACAAATGCTATGGAAGCACATCCAAAATAAACCGGGAGTGATCTCCCCTAAACTTTCTCGAATATTCTTATATAAAATAACAGGGGATGGGAACTCGGGCAATAGACATGATTTTTAATCCATTTTAAATACTTAAAGTTTTAAAAATAGAATAAAATCTCGTAGAAAAAAGATTGCACACCAAGTGAACGCCAAATAAAAAAGTGCATAATAGTGCGCAATATTATTAGTACTTTAAAAATTTACATTAGTTTTTTGAGAAATCGGAAGTAGCGTAAAGTACTACTTCCAGTCAACGGAAATTACTCAAAATTTAACAGAAGGTAGAGAATTAGATCTTTTACTTACATGTGAAATTTCATTTATCTATCTGAAATAGTACTCAAGTTATAGGCTTTTGAAAAATCCAAAGTAGGAAAAGTACCACTTCCGGTTATCGGAAATCGCTCAAAAGTTGATACGGATCTACGATTGTCTGTAACCCATAAACTTCACACAACTGAGTGTATAGCTAAAAACAACTGCGAGGTTTGGCTGGAAAGGGAGTGGAAAGTTGGCGTCAAAACAAGGCATAGAATTCTGCGGACTACTCTATATCTATCGGATAACAGAGTCGGCTAGTGTATTGCACTCGCTTAAAATTTAACTTTTTTTCGGCATTCTAAATTATGAGTGTTGGAAGAGGTTCCCTCCAACACCATTAAAGATACGTGTCAACTTGTTATGCGCCATGTAGGCCGTTGACTCCTATTTTAGCCGGTTTTTTTATAGATGTGCTTCCGTAGCCTATGTCCTACCAAGAACAAACTACAAGCTAGATCTATCTTAACTGTTACGTCCCTTACATGTCCCCTGCTTGTGTGTGTGTGTGTGTTGTGTGCTGGAACGACAGGTACCCTCCCTTTGGTGTATAGTTGTATCCCTTGGTTGAGTGTGTTTACATGGAGCGAGAGGTGTTCACGTGAGGTGTGTCAGGTGACGGGTGTCAGAGCGTGTGCCAGTGTGTGAATCAGTCGGTTGTAGTGTGGCTGTGGACGTGGAACGTGGAACGTGGTGTTGAGTATTGTATTTATGTTGTAGACCCCTTTTTGATCCTTTTATTATTTTAGTACTGTATATATTATTAAATATCTTATTATTATTGTTATTATAGAGTGTTAGTGTTATTGTTGTATACGTCGTATTTGTCTGTTGTTATTTATATACCCCTAGATTCTAGAACCCACTATTTAGTTGACATCATTGGGAAAATTAAGCAACATGTTCTTACACACACAAAGAGCTTTATTGTGGGTAAAGAAATAAAAAAACATTCTCAAAATTACTCATCTTTAATTGTTTTAAAGTATAATTGACATGTTCATTGTGTTTTTATGTGTGGCTGGATGGGTATACATGCCTGGGCCAATCCTATACAGGTACGAGTTAGGGGGTAATCAAAGCGCCATGCGCCCCATTTCCCTGAAGTGCGTTGGCCTGACAGTGGCACCCTGTGGCAATCCACCTGTGTTCCTTCCTCATGACAGCCAGGCCGTGCTTACACCCGTCACGCTTGATGACGGTGACCTTTGCCCGAATGAGCGCACAGTTGAAGGCGTTGGCTTCTAAGCAGTTTAGGCACAAACAGTGAGTCGTTAGCAGCCTCCTGTGCGACAGAAAACGGGAGGAGTTAAAATGTTTATAAACCTAACCCTCAATCTAAACCTAAACTTTAACCTTAATCTAAACCTTAATGTCTCACTTTCAGTATTAACGCTCAACAGTGTAGATGAAGAAGTTTATGTTTAAAATGTATATAAATCTACTTCTGAATCTAAACCTAAACTTAAACTTAAATCTAAAACTTAAGTTCCACTTTCAGACTTAACGCTTGACAGGGTAGATGTAATAGAGTTTATGTTTTTCCCCATATTGAAAGTATGGTGAGATTATCACTTTTTCAAGCTGCCCATACGATCGTTAGCGTGAGACAGGCACGAATCCAATATGAGTGGACGTCCAGCAGTCTTAAATCTGGACAGAGATCCGAATTTGAGACTTCGGGTTAGCAGTGTAGCACTCTACCACATGATCATTCAGTCCCTACTAAACCGAAACTTAAACCTTGAAAATCTTAACCTAAATTTTAACATCGTCTTTGTCGGAACTATAGTGATAGCAATAGCAACACAGCAACAGATGCAATAATAGACACATGAACAAGTATAATTATAAACACAGACATGGATATGAATAGCAACAATGACTCGCACACAAAAATGCATGCAGATACAGTTATAAACATAGGTATGCATTTTACTAACGCATATTGATTAAATGCATCACGATATTACATTTAAAAAATCAGTTTGCAATGATTGTAATCAATTGACGGCCCATAACACTTAATGAACTCACCTAGGATAGTAGAGTTCTCCCAAATCTATGATCTCATATCTCCAGGGACAGACGGTTCTCAAGTTGGGTTGGTCCATGGGCCACCAGTCACCTCTAGGCTTGGGGCAGTTGTCTTTATCCACATAGGATACGTTCACCTCCCAATTCATATGGTCGTCTTCTTTGGTCAACAGCGCGGTCGTGTTGAGGTACGCACCCAATTCCGTGATCAGCTCTGGAAAGTTAGGCGGCAATGGACAAGACTCGGTCGTCTGGCGTCGGGCACGTGAAAGATGCTCACTCTTCGCGTTTCCTGGTCGGGGATTTTCGTGTTCTTGTAAACTTGGTGGCGGGTCGCTGGAATTGTGTACGTCGTCATCAAAACGAGTTGCATTTGTTGGCGGTTTTTTGGTGGTCAAGTGAAATTTTACAACACCATTTGCGTTAAAATGGTTTAGACTTGCGGCTCTACTCTGGGACACCAGACACGATAACACACACAGTAGACCAAACATCGTTTGTTGTTCAACAGTTGTTAACTCGGATCTTTAGGCTGTCTATATTATATTCCCTCTACTACTCTGCTGTAAATTATATTTACAAACGGGCCAGATACACAACTGCACACGTTGATAAAATAATCATCAGTCGTTTAAATGGTGTGAGGATTAAATCAACTACAATGAAGACAGTTAAAGATGGATAAGAAGAATCGATTTTCATTATAAAAAAACGCCTGCTTTTATAAATTTTCAGCGGGCATTACAAAGTAGGGCGAGCTTGCACACACTAAATCTTGGTACTTGATGTTTTAAATTATAATGTTCAGGTTCAGTTTGCCGTATAGACTGGAACAAACTGTGCTCGGGATATAGACATTTGAATCATTTTTTACAAACTTAAACTTTTAAAAATAGAATAGAATCTCGTAGAAAAAAGAATTGCGCTCCAAGTGAACAGCAAACAATGCGTGTATAATAATGCGGAACATTAGTACCTTATAAATTCATGTTTTTTGAGTCACCGGAATTTACTAAGAGTTACAGAGAAATCAGATAATTAGATCTTTTTCTTGAATGTGAAATTTCGCCTATCAGAAAAAAGTACGCTAGCTAAAGGCTTTTTAAAAACCGAAAGTAGAATAAGATTCACTTCCGATTACCGGAAATCGCTTAAAAGTTGATACAAAACTACAATTTGATGTAATACTTATATATGACATTTCATATGCATAGCTTTAATGGTACTCAAGTTATCGTGTTCACAAACACACAGACACACACACAGACACACACAGACACATATACAGACAAGATTGCGAAATTGCATTTTTCGACTCAGTTACAATACTTCCCATATTTTCAGTGTCAGAGGCGTAGCGACCCTTCCTGGCGCCCGGGGACAAACATTCGTTTTGCACCCCCCTCAAAATTTTTATTTTCACCCCCCCTCAAACTTTTGATTTGCACCCCACTTCACCCCCCCCTCAAACTTTCGATTACTTTTTCCAACCCATTTCGGCGCCCCCTAAGGATGGCGCCCGGGCACATATGTCCCCCCTGCCCCCGATCACTACGCCTCTGCTCAGTGTACGATAATAAAAAAAACATGTAATGACAAAATGAACTAACATTTCACCCACGGTGATTATATTTTACAATTGAAACACCGTTGGTCTATTTTAATAGTCTTTCTAAATCGAGCATTATACAGACAGACTTATAGTCCAATGTTATATTCTACTAGACTACCCGTTATCTAGTTAGATAACTGTGGGTTTCGGGGGGTCATCCATAAATGACATCACGTCTGCCAGCACTTTTCATCCCAAAATAACCAGACCCCATATTTAAAAAGACGTTTTTTATTTTTTAAAAACTCTACTAAACTCTACTTCAACTGCCCAGTGCCCCGCCAAGTCTCAGACATGTTTGTATTTAAAATAAAAAAAACGATTCCGGCCGAGCATGGCTCTGACCACACTATCCCTTCAAATGCTGAGAACCTAGAAACAGGTGAACTCTACTTCACATGCCCTGTGCCACGCGAGGTCCTGATAGTCAACCTTATCATTCACATATAGATCTAGGCCTTAAGAAAAAATAATTGAAAGCATTGTTATAATAAAAATATGTTTTTACTATTACTAAAGTCATTGTTCTAAACTTTTATAATTAATGTGGTTAATCTACCAATGAATATATCAATAAATTAATTAACGGCTTTAAATTAGTTTGTAATTATAATGTGTTTAAGAAAGAACAATATTTACCACCCAAAATTCTATTTTACAGCTCTACACATAATGCAGATTCTCCCCAATAAGAAATTTTAAAAAATAAAAAAAAAACGAAAAAATGAGTTATCAAAGATCACAATTCAGTCAAAATTAAGCCATTGTTCTAAAACTTTTTTAAAAATGTGGTTAATTTACCTATGAATAAATCAATAAATTAATTAACGTCTTTAAATAAATGTGTGATTAACAGTCTGTCTGCAATA